AAGTTCCCATGGTACCTAGTATGGTGACCTACCTTTGGCTATTGGTGATCTATAGCCCATTTTTATTGTGTATTGTTATGAATTGTAATGAAATTTATTATGATATGCTAGTTTTAAATCTACATCTGTGATAGTCTAGTGTTTTTACTGTCCTTTGTCGACAGATTTTAATGTCTATATTTACGTATTATTAATGTACAACTTGATTAAGTCACGATATGGCTGAAATATTGCCGATGTGACTATAAATCTTAACTCACTCACTCACTGAACCATACATGGCTAAAATTGAGCACATTTACGTATTTCTCCCAATTTCGATCGAGTAGTAATGTTCGCTTGATTAACACACAATGTTCTGACGTCACAAAATGAGGTTTCCATGCAGTTATCTGACAGTTTAATACATGTGGCAGCGCTACCCCAAGTCACGGTTTTCCTAAAGCAAAACGTGCTCTTTCGCACGATGGAAATTTGTTTTCTTTTTTTGTTCGACATACAGCATTGTATGATTGATTTAACTTTTAGTGCATGACTCCCGGGTGTATTCTTGGTGATAGGGGATATGGTGTCTAATCATGGAAATAGTGAGTTAGACCACTACCCATTTCAACGATTTTATAGTACAAAGGAGTACTTAAACCCTCACACATATTTAACGACTATATTTATTCTAAATGTCATTGATTTAAGACATCTTTAACATCTACAAAAGAAAAGTTTGAGATGAGCGTTCCAGTGTTTTTTTGCCAAAAGAGCATATTTCTTAAAAAAATTCTTTACTTAGAAACAGCAGAATGTCTGCACTTGTACACAGCAGACGTAATACAAAGTTGATATTTCTACTTTAGTTTCAGCAAAATGTGTAAGTGCACTGTCGTTTCTGGTCCATCTATCACTTGATTGTCTGGTTTGTTTACGTTTGTTTGTTTGTTTGTTGTTTAACGCCACACTCAGCAATATTCCAGCTGTCGGACGGCTGTCTGTAAATAATCAAGGATGGACCGGTCAATCCAGTGATTGACATAATGAGCATCGATCCACGCATTTGGGATACGTTGAGATGTATCAACCAAGGCTAACCACCTGATCCCGTTAGTCGTCTCTTACGACAAGCATGGGTTGCTGAAGACCCATTCTACTCCGGATCGTCACGGGTCGGTTTATTTACAGGCTGCATTGGCATAGCAGGGATGCAGCTGTGCGGCGTCAGGCAATAAACACTTATTCTTTGATGCCAATTGTGAGAGTGGCATCTGCTCCGGGAAGGGCAGGACATGCTTACCCTATTCGCGATCACCTGCTGTCATCACTGATTTTCAACAACCCATTCATATAAGATCCACCGCTATTTCGCCTTTGCGCTGGATAATCGAGGCTGGTTAGTCTGTGGAGTTGACATTCTATATTTATATAATAGTCATATTTTGGTGGAAAAAAATGAGGATGAATGATATGAAGGGTGATTATTTTACAAATGTCGGATTGGCAGTTGTTTATAAGGGTTGGTCTTAGTTCATTTACTGGGAAGAGTCATGTTCTTCATTATCATTGAAGGTTAGTTGTGTTGCGACATTATATACACCCTCATAAATTACTGCAATGTGATACCCGATCGATTACTAAACCCAAGTTAAACGTGGTATTATGAAAAAGTGACATCATTGTCGTACTGATTAAAAAAATATCCCAGGTAGATCATGATCTCTGTGATGTACAAACACAAAAATGTACAAAAAGTAAAACAAAGGGTATTCATTATCTTGATACTCTCATATGAAAAAAACATAAAACATGGATATGTATAACTGTCTATTAATCAAGAACCTCACGATGCAATACATTAGACATGTAATGCAAAGCACCGACATTTCGATGAATAACTACAAAACCAGGTCACATGGGAGAAATTTGTTTTACCTTCATCACAACGCCGTCCTCTGTCACACTGGTATCTTCGTGTTGGTCGAGTACCACCCGTGGATACACGTCTACCCAATACAGTGGCTACAGTTGCTATTCTGCATTGTTCGCTCGCCACAAGTTGCACAGATCCCCTGGTCGACCACTTGTGAATGATGCTCTTCTCGCAGTTGCCAGAGTGCCAAACCTCTACAATGAATTGTAAATGACAGCTGACGATTATATTCAACACTCGTGATTTAGAAACACTACAGAAGATGGTTGAACTGTGTCTCTGGTAGAGTCACATCCAAAGATACGAGTACACAATACACCATGACTACACGAATAAGAGAGACAGGGGTGTAATTCATAGATGTCTTGTAGCAATGTCGAAATAGACACAATTGATACCAATACTTTGTTGAAATATTTACGGGGCACGGGTGGCCCTGTCGTCTAAGGCGGATTGTGGATTTGAATCCCGGTTCGCCCAGATTATGTTTCTAGGTTTGTCAGCACCATAACCCCTGCTGTTAACCCGCACTCTGCCATACTTTCCGGCTGGGGCTGTTGGAGTCTGCAGCATGGCTTCCTCGTTCTGGACTGCTCGCCGCCACCACAGGTCTCTGAGCATGAGCCACAGTTTGACCAACCCAGGCGGGAACACTTGGTGCACACCAGAAACCTATGATTGTGGATTCGAATCCCGGTTCGCCCCGATTATGTTTCTAGGTTTGTAAGCACCATACCCATGCTCTTTGGCTTCACCGGAGTGGTAAACGTCACTTCGGGCTTTCCTCCCACATTAAACTGACACACCGTGATATAACTGGCATACTGTTCAAAGCGGCGTAAAACCCAACTCACTCACTGAAATATTTACTATTATATGATGTGAACCTGATGCGAAACAAAAGAGGGTAAAATTATATCAGATGTCTTTCTTAAACTACTCACAGTTTAAGACATATTTTTATTTCCTGACGGAATAGGAATACAACTTTATCCGCCATCAGTTTTAGCCATGTTTGACACATAAGCATTCTAACGGGAAACCTCTGTCTAAACATTTTGTGAACTCCAAGCAATAGCTTCTCAACCACGTAGGTGTTGCAATTACACATTATCATGTACAAAAGAGATACCGCATAAGAATATAACATAGCGCCCCATTTGTACCTATGGTTGTGCTCATAATAATACTAAATGAAAGCAACAAGACCCTTTCCATATTCATAAGAAGCCTCTGACAAAAGCAGAGTCGATTCCGACTGTTATGAGCTCATGTGTTTCGGAATCACTTTCAATTAGTGATGAAAAAAACGTGTTCGCTCTGACGGGAAACCTTGTCTAAACGTTTTGTGAACGTTAAGACAATGTTGTCTTAAGCTTACTAAGTATTTCCTGTGTAGTGACCTACTTTGCATCTATCGGATCGTGATAGTGTTGATAACATGTCTTATAACAAAGAGGCTATGTTGAAACATTCCTTGCACTTTTTGGTAGTAGTACGTAGGCAGCTGTTGACCACAGAACACAGCAGCGAGCCTTTATCCGGAGCCGTTGCCCTCCTCCACAGGTCCTGTACAACAATGGGTAGAAGTATGATCAGCATGCATGGATGTGACATGATTCAACGAACTATCATCTGAAGAAATATAAGGACAGAAGTCAGGATTTGGCATCAAATGGGATCCGTCATAATTTTTCTGATCCTACACCAACATTCAAAATCTTTTCATGATTTTTAATTAACCAGAATTATAAATATATCATGAGGATGATTATAACTATCGAATGTTTCGTTCAAGGCATTAATAAACATAAAAAAGAAATCTACATACATTGAAATCCATAATGACAATACTAAAATGGGTGTTCTAAACTTCAGGTTTACTGGTGTATCATCAGTTTATCATCAAATGTACTTCAAGCTGAGAGGAAACGTTTATTGTTTAAAATGCCTATCCTTGTACAGTGCACTACACTCCCAGAAAATAAAAGTACTCAGCGAGAACAGAATCTATTAGAACAAACTGCAGGCCGAACAAAGGTAATTGGGTGATTAATGTACTTCAAGGGGGGTAACTCTTTACACGAGTAACCAATAAATAGTTATATTGACACCAAAAATATGTCAGACTAAGTGGTAAAGTTTAATGTTAAGAGATGCACGAGACAGATATATGAAGTATCGCGACCAAGCGGTCGGGTGTTTTTGGAGTACAGAAACGCCAATATAAGGTACATGTGAAACATCAGCTCGACCTTAATGGGTCAAATCTCCAAGGGTATGTTCTTCAACCTATTTCTGTCTCATGAAGAACATATATTGAACGGAAACAGAATTCACACTTAACTTTGCTTGGAAACATCAGCACGTACTTACAAAAGTATGATAAAAAGCATTATAACATGAAAATAGTGGTAATCGCTTAAATCAACAAGTGACTCACATACCTTTTCGTTCCTCTGTGGTGCCCAAGCTCTGATGCATATCTTTACTATAACTGCTCAGTGAAGTGACGTACTTACAGATTGATGTTTCGTAGCCCACTGTAGACACATTGCTGTGTCTCTTCCTGTTATACTTACAAAACCTATTTGGTCTTCTTATCAGTACACAAGGTCGGATCAACACTTTCAGTCATTCTTTGAACATTTAATTTCATACAACTAACACTCACTCTCAAATTGAGACTAACGTTGCCATTCTTAACCTCTCTCAAACACACCATCAACACTCACTCTCAAAGTGAGACAAACGTTGCCATTCTAAACCACTCTCAACCACACCACCAACACTCACTCTCACAAAGGCAAAAACATTGTCATTCTCCAACACTCTCACAACGACTCAGCATCAACATACATATTTTTATTAGAATCGGCAATGTATTTTGCAATGGGAAAAAACATACCTATAAAAATGTTAACTATGTATGACTTTAATTTGATATGTTTCGAAAAGTGTGTCAATAATACTATCAAGTTGACCTGTAAATGGAATATTTGATTTTCTTCAGAATTCGAATAATCTCAAAGATGAAGAGAGAACTAACATCGCAAAAGTCAGAACTATTTTAAGTACTTACCTATGTTACAACACCGTCCTCTATAATCATCGTAGCAGTGACACTGGCTGTTGTTAAAGACTCCATGGTCACATGTTTGACTGCAGTTTTGCATCATTTGCAAGTCCTCCCCAGTTAACCCACACTCTGTCATACATTCTTGCTGGGACTGTTGGAGTCTGCAGCATGGCTTCCTCGTTCTGGACTGCTCGCCGCCACCACAGGTCTCTGAACATGAGCCCCAGTTTGACCAAGCCAGGAGGGAACACTTGGTGCAGTCGCCGGGTGTCCTCTCTGTGTGACCGTGATAAATAGTACACATATATAGGATGGACAGGACAGGTATATGAAAAACGTTACTGCCAAACAATAACCAGTCTCGATTATCCGACGAAACAGAATCCATTTGGCGTAAAAGGCAAAATAGCTGTGATAATTATTAAATTAATGGATTACAGAAAATCGGTGATGAAACTAGGTGTTTGCGAAAAGAGTAAGTCTTTCCTGTCCTATTGATAGCATCTGCCACTTTCACAATTTGCATAAAAAATATATTCATTGCCTGAGTCGCAAGGTGTTATCTCTGTGTGACTGTGATTAATAGTTCACATAAATTGGATGAACAGGACAGGTAAGCAATGTCTGAAATAATAATAATAATAATAATAATAATAATAATAATAATAATAATAATAATAATGATGATGATGATGATGATGATGAAAATAAGAAGAAATAAAGTGACAAAACCCTTTCCGAATCCAATAGAAATCTCTGCATAAATCAGAGTCCATTGTACGATTCCAACTATATCGTGTGCATGTGTTTTTGAATCACTGTCTAATAGTAATGACACCAGGTGTTCACGAAAAGGTGAGCATATCCCGCCCCACCAGTGAAACCCGTCACAAACACATGCAAAGGCAAGTCAATTGCTCACCTGAAAAAACATGGGAACATATGGTACAAGTCAAAATAGGGAACTGCATCGGACATCATTTTGTCACTGATACGGCAAATTTCGAAATGTCCTCCACATGTCCATAACAAACCTTTTGAAAGCTTTACTGAGGCCTTGAATTATCTTGACTGTAACTGCTGAATAAAGTGACGTACTTCCAGATGGTTTGTATCATAGCCCACTGTAGACACATGGCTGTGCTTCTTCCTGTTATACTTACAACACCTGTTTGATCTTCTTATCACTACACAAGGTCGGATCAACACTTTCAGTCATTCTTTCAACATTCAGTTTCACACCACCAACATTCACTCTCAAATTGAGACCAACGTTGCCGTCTAAACCACTCTCAAACACATCGGCAACATTCACTCTCAAAGTTAGACCAACGTTGCCATTCTAAACAACTCTCAACCACACCGGCAACACTCACTCTCAAATTGAAAGTAACGTTGCCATTCTAAACCACTCTCAACCACACATACAACATACACTCTTAAATTGAGACTAACGTTGCTATTCTAAATAAACTCTCGACCACACAAACCAACGATCACTCTCACAAAGACTATCGTCATTCTCCAACACACTCACAACGACTCACCATCAACATGCATATTTTTATTAAAATCTGCAATGTATATCGCAATAAAAAAAAATATACCTATAAAAATGTTAAACCTGGATAACTTTAATTTGATGTTTCGAAAGGTGTGTAAATAATACCATTACATTGACCTTCAGATGGAATATTTTATTTTATTTAAGAATTCGAATAATCTCAAAGATGAAAAGAGAACTAACATCGGCATAGACAGAACTATTGTTAGTTCTTACCTATGTTACAACACCTTCCTCTATAATCATCGTAGCAGTGACACTGGCTGTTGTTAAAGACTCCATGGTCACATGTTTGACTGCAGTTGTGGGTCATTTGCAAGTCCTTCCCACTTAACCCGCACTCTGCCATACATTCCTGCTGGGACTGTTGGAGTCTGCAGCATGGCTTCCTCGTTCTGGACTGCTCGCCGCCACCACAGGTCTCTGAACATGAGCCCCAGTTTGACCAAGCCAGAAGGGCACATTTGCTGCAGTCGCCGGGTGTCCTCTCTGTGTGACCGGGATAAATAGTACAAATATATAGGATGGACAGGATAGGTATATACAAAACGTTAATGCCAGACAATAACCAGTCTCGATTATCAGGCGAAACAGAATCCATTTGGCGTAAGAGGCAAAATAGCAGTGATAATTATTATATAAATGGATTACAGAAAATCGGTGATGAAACTAGGTGTTGGCGAAAAGAGTAAGCCTGTCCTGTCCTATCGGTAGCATCTGCCATGTACACAGTTGGCATGAAATATATATTCATTGCCTAAATCGCAAGGTGTCCTCTCTGTGTGACTGTGATTAATAGTTCACATAAATTGGATGAACAGGACAGGTAAGCAATGGTTTAAATAATAATAAAAATAAGAAGAATACGAAGAAGGAGAAGAAGAAGAATAAGAATGAATGAATAAAGTGATAAAACCCTCTCCATATCCAATAGAACACATGCAAAGGCAAGCCAATTGCTCACCTGAAAAAATATAGGAACATATGGTACAAGTCAAAATACGGAACTGCATCGGACATCATTTTTGTCACTGATGCGCCAAATTTGGAAATGCCCTCTACATGTCCAATATAAAAAAATTTGAAAGCTTTTCTGAGGCCTTGAATTATCTTGACTATCACTGCTGAATAAAGTGATGTACTTTCAGATGGTTTGCATCGCAGCCCATTGTAGACTCGTGGCTGTGCTTCTTCCTTTTATACTTACAACACCTGTTTGGTCTTCTTATCAGTACACAAGGTCGGATCAACACTTTCAGTCATACTTTCAACATTCTGTTTCACACCACCAACATTCACACTCTCAAATTGAGACCAACGTTACAATTCTAAACCACTCTCAACCACACCACCAACACTCATACTTAAATTGAGAGTAACGTTGCTATTCTAAGCCACTCTCAACCACACCACCAACACTCACTCTCACAAAGACAATAAAATTGTCATTCTCCAACACTCTCACAACGACTCACCATCAACATGCATATTTTTATTAAAATCTGCAATGTATATCGCAATGGTAAAAACATACCTATAAAAATGTTAACTATGGATGACTTTAATTTGATATGTTTCGAAAAATGTGTAAATAATACCATCAAGTTGACCTTAAGATGGAATGTTGGATGATATTTGAGAATTCGAATAATCTCAAAGATGAAAAGAGAACTAACATCGGCATAGACAGAACTATTGTAAGTTCTTACCTATGTTACAACACCGTCCTCTATAACCATCGTAGCAGTGACACTGGCTGTTGTTAAAGACTCCGTGGTCACATGTTTGACTGCAGTTGTGCGTCATTTGCAAGTCCTCCCCAGTTAACCCACACTCTGCCATACATTCCTGCTGAGACTGTTGGAGTCTGCAGCATGGTTTCCTCGTTCTGGACTGCTCGCCGCCACCACAGGTCTCTGAACATGAGCCCCAGTTTGACCAAGCCAGGAGGGAACACTTGCTGCAGTCGCCGGGTGTCCTCTCTGTGTAACCATGATAAATGGTACATATATGAAGGATGGACAGGGTAGGTATATTTAAATCATTAATGCCAAACAATAACCAGTGTTGATTATCAGACGGAACAGAATCCATTTGGCGTAAAAGGCAAAATAGCAGTGATAATTATTAAATTAATGGATTACAGAAAATCGGTGATGAAACTAGGTGTTCACGAAAAGAGTAAGCCTGTCCTGTCCTATCGGTAGTAATTGCCTCTCACACACTTTGCATAAAAAATATGTTTGTTGCCTGAGTCGTAGGTTGTCCTCTCTGTGTGACTGTGATTAATAATACACATAAATTGGATGAACAGGACAGGTAAGCAATGGTTTAAATAATAATAAAAATAATAATAATAATAAGAAGAAGAATGAATGAATAAAGTGATAAAACCCTTTCCATATCCAATAGAACACATGCAAAGGCAAGTCAATTGCTCACCTGAAAAAATATAGGAACATATGGTACAAGTCAAAATACGGAACTGCATCGGACATCATTTTTGTCACTGGTGCGCCAAATTTGGAAATGCCCTCTACATGTCCAATATAAAAATTTGAAAGCTTTTCTGAGGCCTTGAATTATCTTGACTATCACTGCTGAATAAAGTGATGTACTTTCAGATGGTTTGCATCGCAGCCCATTGTAGACTCGTGGCTGTGCTTCTTCCTTTTATACTTACAACACCTGTTTGGTCTTCTTATCAGTACACAAGGTCGGATCAACACTTTCAGTCATACTTTCAACATTCTGTTTCACACCACCAACATTCACACTCTCAAATTGAGACCAACGTTGCAATTCTAAACCACTCTCAACCACACCACCAACACTCATACTTAAATTGAGAGTAACGTTGCTATTCTGAACCACTCTCAACCACACCACCAACACTCACTCTCACAAAGACAAAAACATTGTCATTCTCCAACACTCTCACAACGACTCACCATCAACATGCATTTTTTTTATTAAAATCTGCAATGTATATCGCAATGGTAAAAACATACCTATAAAAATGTTAACTATGGATGACTTTAATTTGATATGTTTCGAAAAATGTGTAAATAATACCATCAAGTTGACCTTTAGATGGAATGTTGGATGATATTTGAGAATTCGAATAATCTCAAAGATGAAAAGAGAACTAACATCGGCATAGACAGAACTATTGTAAGTTCTTACCTATGTTACAACACCGTCCTCTATAACCATCGTAGCAGTGACACTGGCTGTTGTTAAAGACTCCGTGGTCACATGTTTGACTGCAGTTGTGCGTCATTTGCAAGTCCTCCCCAGTTAACCCACACTCTGCCATACATTCCTGCTGAGACTGTTGGAGTCTGCAGCATGGTTTCCTCGTTCTGGACTGCTCGCCGCCACCACAGGTCTCTGAACATGAGCCCCAGTTTGACCAAGCCAGGAGGGAACACTTGCTGCAGTCGCCGGGTGTCCTCTCTGTGTGACCGTGATAAATAGTACAAATATATAGGATGGACAAGACATGTATATATAAATTGTTAATGCCAAACAATAACCAGTCTCGATTATCCGACGAAACAGAATCCATTTGGCGTAAGAGGCAAAATAGCAGTAAATTAATGGATTACAGAAAATCGGTGATTAAACTAGGTGTTCCTCGAAAAGAGTATGCCTGTCCTGCCCTATCAGTAGCAACTGCCACTTACACAGTTTGCATACAAATGTGTTTGTTGTCTGAGTCACAAGGTGTCATTTGTACATAATCATAATCAACTGTTCTCTCGACTCAGTTCTAATTGTTCATTGCACACGAAATGTGGCTTGAGTCGAGTAAATGATTTAGTAGTTACCTATTTCACAGCATGCACCACCATAACCCGGGGGACAGCCGCAATATGTTATAGAAACGGTCCCTCCATTAGAGCAATAACCACTGCATGCTGATGTCTCTCTCTGGTCAGATGACGAAAAGGTGCAGTTTGACATACACTGGTCAGACGTCAAAACCTTGAGACAACATGGTTTGCGTGTTCTAGTTCTAGTTCCCCCTCCACAGGTGGTGCTGCAGCTACTCCAGGAACGCCAGTTGGTCCACGTGCACCTCTTGGCACAGTCACCATCCGCGTGGGCCTCATCTAAGTAAATGCACAGCACCATGGGTCAGTTTCGTCTACACAAATGCATAACCTCAAGTATATCAAAGTATCACAAGTTTGATCAAATAGTTGTTCTTATTCCACTTAGGTTAAACTCACTGTGCTTGAATACACCATAAAACCATTTGATTCATGCCTAAACATTTATCTTATTAGGCCAATTGAATTTGGTCTTGTTTTACAGTCATTTGTTTAGTCACCAAAACATCAACAAGCACATTACAAATACTTTACGGCGAAGTAGATGTGATTTTGGAGATCAAAAACACAAGCTAAACAATTGTAACAATGTTGGATATTCTATGGAAACTTGTGATCATGTCCTTTCTCAAGTCAGACACAAAACCAACGTCACAATATAATCAGGCTTCTATATGCGATACACCACCACAGGAAGTGTCACTGCTGGGGAATGAAGGCAATTAGTAACCTTCCCTGCAAATGACCGCTACATTCGACTCCAGCACATGTGTAATCTCTTCACAACCACTACCTACAATCGCAAAGGATGCATCACCGATCAGACAGTGTAAAACAGTCTGAAGGAAAGTGTCATTCTTACAGGTCGGTTTGTCAGAGGCGTATCTTGACGACACGTTATCACGACGAAGGTCTACAGACAACATGCTCGGGGACTACTATTGTGGAGGAGAGTCCTGTCTAGTGCACAGACCCCTGGAGCAGGATAGTGATATAACTGAAACAGTGGACCCATATATATAAATAGACAAATAATCTCCGCGCTCAATGGCGTCGAGTGCTGTGATTGGTCCGCGCTCCAACCATAAGAAACACACATGGGGACATTTACCAATCAGAGCGCTCGGGGACATTGAGTGCGGAGATTTTTGTATACTTCCGTGACTCACAGCCGCGACTGAGCCAATATTTCGATAAAATCACCCGATATAGGTAATAAATTGCCAAAAATGAAGGTTTGTGGCATGCAGGGCGTATTTGGAGGGAGGTGGGGAGGTATTGTGAACATGACATGCACACATTTCCATTTAATTTAAACAATACAGCCGATTTCAACTTCGGCTAAGATGGCGAGTGACGTACCTTGTCTATTTATATATATGGGTCCACTGTTTCAGTTTTATCACTATCCTGCTTCAGGGGCCTGTGGTCTAGTGATAAACAAAGATGTACAGAACTCCCACCTGCCGTGCTTATGGTACAATGGCTATTTGTCACATATGTTTTTGTATTGTAAATATATGTTAGGGATATAGATTTCTGATGATTATGAAAAAGTGTTTTTTTTAACTTTTGTTGACCGATATGATGCACTTCGACCACCTTTCTGTGGCTCCTGTGTCTGACAGTTTGGAAAGTGAACTAACACACATAGGATCCTGTCTTGTCTAGGCTACCACTTAGTCAATGAACATACGTCTTTAAAATAAGTTTGAAAAATTGTCTTTGAAAGAACCTTTCCTCCTTTGCTGTAATCAAGCAAACTAGACTTGGTCAGTTTGATCTAGACTTGCCTAGGCCTTTAGTAAAATAATAATACCGAAAAATATAAATTCCACAGTCAATGGCGCAGGACTAGATCCTGACATAGCAGCTGTTATAGGCTTCCAGTTATAAACAGAGACGATTGTGCCATCCATGGCCCATAAAAATGATTGTTGATAATAGATGTGATTGTAAGGAATATTGCAAATTCACATATCAAACAAAAGTTCGATGCATCTAAGTCTCATTGTGTATCTCACACATACAGTTAGATTGCTCCCTACCTCTTTCACAGCAAATGCCGTATCGTAAGGGTGGACAGTGACAGTAGCCATTGCTGTATGTTCCTCCATGCTGACAGTCCGTGTTACAGGACTGTGTCTCTCTGCCAGTGTCTAGTAGGCTGCAGTCACGTAGACATGCATCATAGTCAAGGTCGGCCTTACAGCACAAGCTCCGTGTCCGTGTCTGGATTCCACCTCCACAGGTCCTGCTGCAGGATGACCAGCTCGCCCAGGGATACCACTCACAGGTGTTTAAGTTGTTAATGCAGTCTCCATGACAACGCTGTGGTAAGATTATGATTAACAGGGTGATACTCCAGGCAAGCTTCCATACACCTATTGGAGGATGAGTAACTGCACCAATCTTTACTTCTGTTACAACAATCCAGTAGGTTTATCTTGTTTGTGCAGGGTCAATGTACACTTCTCGGTCTTCCTGTGACGTATGCCAACTAATGTCAGTCCAATATCAGGACACAAGCTGCTTACAGTAAAACACAAGACAGTCGGCAAGTAATGAGTAGTAAGTTGCACTACTCCAGGAGCAAACAGAATCAGCGCGTTCTGATTGGTTGAGGAAAGACCCGTTAACGTGACGTCATGCTAAAACCTGGCTCAGTCTGGGGTGCAATGGCTGATAAAGCCCCGCGCTGTAACGATGCAAAATTTTCCGTCTCTCGGAGGACTGTACACAGTGTAATCTTTGAGTAGACAGAACGCCAGGATGCATTGCTTTGTTTGTGCGGTTTATCAGTCTGGCTGTGATATATGTCGACAAAGGTCAATCGACATTCAAACACAAACTGTTTGCAGTAATCGACATAACACGATTTACACAAGACGGTCGGCTTGCATGTGACTTAGCCATGTCAGTTTGTTTGCTGTTACAACCTTTGCATTTAAACAATGCACACAACTTATCAAAATATATTAATCACACAAGTAGGCTGGTAACTCTTAATATCGGTTAACTTACCATACTTTGATCTTTCAGACATTAAATCAATTAAATAATAACGTCAAAACTCCATTTTATAGCCTAGTTCTTCTGAAAGAACACGGTCACTAGTTATTCTTATAATATCTATCATTCCTTCAATTGTTTGGTTTGTGTTTATGATCCACAAAATCACAACTAGTTCGCTGTAAAATGTATCTAAAGCGCTTGTTTGTGATTAAACAAATGACTGCTTAGAGTTAATGAACTCGACAGCAAATATCTGCTAAAAGCAGAGTCGATTGTACGATTCCGACTATATCATGAGCACGTGTTTACGAATCAGTATCAAATAGTGATGACTCCAGGTGTTCGCAAAAAGATAAGCGTATCCTGTCCCACCGGTGACATCCGTCAGAAACACATGCAAAGGCCGGTCAATTGCTCACCTGAACAGAACACGGGAACATATGGTTCAAGTCAAAATAGGGAATTGCATCGGACATCATATTTGTCACTGATGCTTGGTCCTCTGTCTTGCTGTAATCCCACCCCATACCATAACGCTGCCGCCCCCGAACCGATCTTCTTTCATGACACAATGATTGACGTAACGTTCACCTCGACGTCGGTACACTCGAATCCGTCCATCGCTGTGGCTGAGGTGAAAACGAGACTCGTCAGTGAATAGAACTTGTCCCCACTGCATTACCGTCCAGCGTAAACACTGTCTGCACCACTGTAGATGTGCTTGACGGTGGTTTCCTGTCAAAATGGGCGTCTGGCGGGTCTTCTGGCAACAATCCCTGCACATATGAGGCGACGCCGTACGGTTTGTGAAGATATTCACCGCAGGCCAGGGATGCTTCTTGCAGTTATTGTTGCTGGCTGGAATCGATTTCGAACGTGTGTTGTTCGAATCCAGTTGTCTTGTCGATTATTGGTTACGCGTGGCCTGCCACTCCTAGGATGGTCCCTGACTGCATTCGTCTGTTGCCAGCGTTGCCATAAACACCAAATGGTGTTTCTGTGGACGTTAAATTGTCTTGCAACATCCCGTTGACTCGATCCTGCTTCAAGCATACCAATGGCTCGAAGACGCTCATTTTCGGACGGGCGTGGCATTTCGTAATGTTGAATAATTGTGTAATTTTGTTGTTTTTCTGAGCGGTTGTTGTCAGCACGATACTAAACAATGCATATGGAATCCCGTTAACGCATGTTTTTATACACATTCTTGGGTAGTGAAATGAATGGGGCTTGCATAAGAGTCAACTTTTGCATGGAGTGCATGCTTTTCTGTAGCAGTTGCGGTTTTGTGACTTGATTCCACACATGTACTTCAATATCGATAACCATACTTTACTTGCTTGAAAAATACACTAAAATATTGGTGTCACAGGAACTTTTGTTGTTGAGTGATGTGATACCATTCCGTAGGTAGGTTGCTAACGATATTTTGGTCCATTTTCGAATAACTGATCAACAATAGAGAAGTCACATGTGATTAGATGACCCACAGGTTGGTAGCAGTATGCTGGGTCTTGGCAACCACAATTAAAGTGGAATGTACATCATGAGCTGCCAAGTCCACGTTCTACAACACGTTCCTTTAATTGAACAACCTGGATGCAAGGCCCGGTTCTGTTTGTGTGGCATGTACAACGTTTGGTGCAATAAATCAAAGTGAGATTAGCCCAAATGGTTGATGCAAGTCATCGTATCCCGATTGCGTAGATCAAAGCTCATGATATCAATCACTGGATTGTCTGGTCCAGACTCGATTATTTACAGACCGCTGCCATTTAGCTGGACTATTGATAGGACGAGTGCGGCGTTAAACAACATCCAAACACACTTCGAAATTATTGTGGTTATACATTCATGTGGATGATGATTGTGCCATGGTTGTCCAGGATACGCCCATCTTTCACGAACACCGGGTATAATCACTGTTTCACTGTGACTCCTAAGCACATGCTCATGATACATAGTCGACTCGTACCATGGACTTTAAGTTCAGATTTCTTATGATGATGGAGAAGGTTTTGTCACTTTTATTTGCCCATGAACCAACTGTCTCTCCTGGAGTAGCTGCAGCACCACCCATGGAGGAGGAGGAGGAACTGGAGTGAGTAAGTGAGGTGGGTTTGACGCTGCTTTAAACAGTATGCCAGTTATATAACGGCGCGTCAGCTTGACGAGGTAGGAAAGTGATGCAGGTCTTTGACGCTTACCACATTGGTGAAACCCATGAGCGCGACCTGGTGCTGACAAACTCAGAACCGTAATCGTAACGAACCAGGATTCGTTCCCAGTTTGTGGCGTGTCCAAGGGACGCACCTCTGCACAGGGAACTGCAGCTCCTTAGACGACATGATGATGCATGCCCCAAGGAGGAACTGATATAAGCGAATTTACTGTTGACCAGTGTACATAAAATGCAGTTTGTGTTTTGCAACACACCAAAGCTGGTCTATATATTTCCCTAATGGAGCCCTCTTCTCGTCATTTATATTTTTCCAGTGTGGTTGCTTAAGATATTTAGATGTAATATCAATCCTAACCCTTTTATTCCAAGGGAGATAGATAAACAGCTTCTTTATTACAATGCATGCGACGTCTCGGTGTAGATACTCACACCGTTATCAAGCAAGTGATGTTCTGAAATGTGATTTTGGTTGGTTGGTTTGTTGTTTTACGCCGCACTCAGCAATAGTCTGGACCAGACAATCCAGTGATTGATATCATGGGCATCGATCCACGCAATTGGGATCGATGACATGCATCAACCAAGTCAGTGAGCCTGACCACCCGATCCCGTTAGTCGCCTCCCACGACAAGCTTAGTCGCCTTTTACAGCAAGCATGGGTTGCTGAAGACCTATTCTACCCCGGATCTTCACGGGTCCCAAAAATGTGAAGTAGGAAGGTTATATTGATATGGCGACAAATGTTGTTTATACAAGGTTGGATGATGATAGATTGATGTTTACACAACAGATAAGGTAGAAGTATAAAGCCTGGTGATGTAAATATTAGAACAAATAGGATTAACATGATTATATCCATAGAACTTTCTCCTTTGTTCATCAAACCACCCTCTAAATGCCACGTAAAGACGCTACCTATTTATTTAACTGGCAGTGGAATAATATTAAACATGACTTAACTTAACGTTATATAATCTAGCTGGTATGAGCTTAGTGATGTGTGTATGTGGCTTGTCCACCTCCCAGTGTGTATAGATTGATAACAAGCAGGAAGTTGAACTAGCGCTGCAGTCGTGAGGCATTGTTTCGCCAAGTGTACCATCACGTGTAGCCCATTAACAATGAAACTCCATTACAATGTCACAATCCAAAATATTAATTTGGTGTGTTTAGAATGGAATGATTCAGGGCCCTTACAAACGCTGTGTCAAATCACAGTGAGTGAGTGAGTGAGTTGGGTTTAACGTCGCTTTTAACAGTATTCCAGTTATATCACGGCGTGTCAGCTTAATGTAGGAGGAAAGCCCGAAGTGATGCAGGTCTCAGACGTTTACCACTTCGGTAAAACCCACGAGTACGGGTATGGTGCTGACAAACCTAGAAACATAATCGGGGCGCACCGGGATTCGAACCCACAATCATAGGTTTCTTGCGTGCCCAAGGGACGCAACTCTGCACAGCGAATTGCGGCGTCTTTGACGACTGGGCCACCCGTGCCCCCGTCAAAACACAGAACACATTGCTACAAGCAGAGAAGTTGACACACAAGGACGTTCAGAGATAGTCTGTGTGAAGCATGCTAAAAATGAAACTTCCCCATCTTGTAAAATAGCTCGTGAAGGAACTACTTCAATCCACTTAGCCTCTATACAATGAAATCACTTGTTATAGACAATAGAAAACTATGGCTTGTTCATAAAGAGCGGATCATTTCTCCTTTCACCTCGAAGCTAAATGGTATGTATTGTAGATGTTTTATCATTTCAAAGACACTTGTTGAACTTCCATATAATTGATATTTTCCCCCATTTTAGTATAGTGATAAAAAACGCCTAGATGGAAAGGGTATTTCTATACATGTAGATTACGGTTCTGTCTGTATCAATGCTTAAAAATGGCGAAACTCGCAAAGCTGATTTTATTCTGGTAATTTCAGGATTGAGTGAGTTGAATACTAGTGTATTCCGATATATTACGGCGTGTCGTCTTACTGTGTGAGGAAAGCCCGAAGTGACGCAGATCTCAGACGTTTACCACTTTTGTATGGTGCTGACAAACCGAGAAAACAAAATCTAAGCGAACCGGGATTCGAACCCACAATGATAGGTTTTTTGGCGTACCCAAGGGACGCAACTCTGCAGAGAATTGAGGTTCCATAGACGTCTGGGCCACCCGTTTTATCAAGTTTAATCTCATTTGATCCATTGCCGCTCACATTTAATATCTTAAGATGATAGTTCGTTGAGTCATGTCACACCTATGTCTGCTGACAAGTGTGTGCTGTGTTGTGATCACACTTCTACCCATTGTCGTACGTGGTCAGTGCGATATATCAACACCGTGTTATTGGGGCCCGTGGAATAACTGGAGCGCGTGCAGCAGGACCTGTGGAGGAGGGCACCGTCTGAGGTTAAAGGCTCGCTGCGTTCTGGTCAAAAGCTGCGGAAATACTTCTACCAGATAACGTAAGTGACCATTGCACATGACCTCCTTAGCGATTAGACATTTTATTGTGATGAGCAGTGGTTTGCAATGTCAGAAGTAGATAAGTAAACGATAAACAAACAAACAAACAAACAAACAAACAAGCACAGTAACAAGCATGTGGGACAGTACAAGCTTACTTTTTTGCGAACACCTGGTGTTATTAATGTTTTCGGTGATCCATTCATATAGTTTTCACCGCTTTTTACCTTTTTGAGACCAGTCTGTTTCGGCAGATGGTCGACTATGCTTCGACGTTTACGTTTTATATTTAGTTTATACATTTAAATACCTTTCAATCCTGTCATTGAACGGATTGTTTCTGGTACTTCTAATTGCACGAACCATATGCGCGAAGATACATCAGTGAGTGAGTGAGTGAGTGAGTGAGTGAGTGGGTGGGTGAACAGTATTCCAGTTATAACAGCGTGTCAGCTTGGGAGGAAGGCTCGAAGTGATGCAGGTCTAAGACGCTCACCACTTTGGTGAAACACACGAGCAGGGTATGGACCTGACAAACGTAGAAACATAATCGGGGACAATCGAGATTCGAATTCACGATCATGATACGTTATTGATGCGAACGGGATGATTAGTTCATGATAAACTCTGTATATGAAAGTTGTGACAAATGTATGACAATTCTTTCAGTAAATGAATTTTGTATCATTCTGTATTGATGAGATAAATTATGGCGGTATTAACTTGATACAGTTTGTGGTGCAGCTGTTTGATATGCACACCCTTGCAGAGATTGTTTCACTGTGAACCCGTCAATATCCGGGTTGGAATTAGTCATGCTTGTCCAAAGAGGCGACCAACGGGTTCGGGTGGTCAGGCTAGCTGACTTGGTTGATGCATGCCATTGTAACCCAATTGCGAAGATCAATGCCTATGATGTCAATCACTGGATTGTCTGGTCCAGAGTCGATTATGTACAGACCGCCGTCATATAGCTGGAATATTGCTGTGTGCGGCGTTCAACAACAAACAAGCAAAGTTTCACCGTGGAACTGGAAATATGAATTATATGCACTGGGTTTCATACCCACAGAAGACCGCCTCCGTGGTCTTGTGGTAGAGCGTCCGCCCGGAGAGCGGAAGGTCCAGGGTTCGATCCCGGGCCGCGTCATACAAAAAGACGTTAAAAGATTGTACTTGTTGTTACCCTGTCTGGCGCTCGGCATTAAGGGGCTAAAACAAGGACTGGTCGGCTCGGAGTCAGTATACTGTGTCTGAGTGGGGTATTCATGTTAAACTGCGGCATGGTATCTCAGTGAGCTAGCACTATAAATCGGCATCAGTCCGGACTAGTACAAGCAGCCACACACACACATACACGTGCATGCACGTCGCTATATAAGTGCAATAATCTTGGACGCGACGTTAAACCCAATTTCACCTCACCTCATACCCACAGAAAATAATGTTTGTGAACTTCCATTTCCGTAATTTCAAGGGGTATAGCGGGCCAAACACAGATGATGTGTAAAATGAAGTTCTGAAATATGTTTTCAAATCGATTGAGTCCGTGGTTCTACGCCTCCGTTAACAGACAACAAGAACAACATTCACCCATTTCACTGATATCGGTACAAAGGGAGCCTACATGAACAGGAGGGACATATCATATTTCTTTAAAACTGCATTTTATCAGGCCTGATGTTTAGAGTCTATAGTTGCATCTGAAAGATTTAACCGAGTAAATATGTGATAATCATTAATATCATCATGAATTAAGACCGCCTCCGTATCTAGTGGCAGAGCGTCCCCCCGGAGAGCCGAAGGTCCGGGGTTTGATCCCCAGCCACGTCACATCAAAAGACGTTAAAAGATGGAACTTGTTGTTACCCTGTCTGGCGCTGGGCTAAAACGACTGGTTGGCTCGGAGTCAGTATACTGTGTCTGAGTGGGGTATTTATGTCAAACTGAGGCATGGTATCTCAGTGGGCTAGCACTATAAATTGGACTAGTACAAGCAGCCACACACTCTTATCGCTATAAGTGCAATAACCTTGGACGCGACGTTAAACCCCTTTTCTCCTCACCGGATTATGAATTATTACTATTTGCAGAGCTCACGCACAACAACTGTTCGAAGTGTTCCCTTCTCAACTGGTCACCCTGGGAGCCCTGCGCAGAGACGTGTGGTGGGGCGGGGTGTGTGTGTGTGTGGTGGTGTGGTGGTGGGTTGGGGTGGTGGTGGGGGTGGGGGTGGGGGGTGTTGAGGGGTTGGGGGGGGGGGGGGGGTGGAGGCAGAAGAGGAGACGCTCGCCATGACGTCACTAAACACACAGTGACTGTGTCACACAATGTGACATCAACGAGACCCAGCTGCAGCAGGAGCACGCCTGCAGTCTCGCATGCACACATAGGGTGTACAGGGACCACCAGTGTCAGTGCAGTCTGGGTTATGCTGGAAGATGCTGCAATGAAGGTAAAAACCAACAATGTATTACGTACGCCAAGGACTCCAGAACATAATACGGGTATACCAAAATGCACTTTGGATGTAGCAGGAACTTTTACAGCCCTTCTACCAAACACCTGGTGTCATCACTGATTTTCAGTGATCCATTCATAGAATTGTCACCTCCTTTTGCCTTCTACGCCCAATGGAATCTGGTTCGTCAGATAATTGAGACGGGTTATTTTCTGGCGTTGACGTTTTATATTTACGATATTACTTTGAGGGCCTCTATTCACGTGGCAGAAAAATCATGTTCAAAATATTTGAAATACCTTCTCAGAAATGGATGATACCTGGTACATGTTAGACCTCTTTCACCTAGAACTGTTGGCTGCCGACTGTGTTAAATGTTCCTGGATACAATGGGAAGCATTGGGAAATTGCAGCTCTGGTTGTGACGGAGGACGTATGTCAAGGTCAAGGACGCTTTGCTGCCGTCAAGGTCAAACTGAAGAGGAATGAAGAGGTCAGATGGACCTCGAATTAGCCAATGAGAATAAAAGCTGTAACACGCGTATGTGTCATGTTTGTGTTCGCTTTACTGTAAAAGTTCAATTAAAATGAGGGGGTGCAATGATATGCATTCATTTTAACTTATCTCAATGTAAATATCAAAAGAAAATATAATGTATCAAATATGAGATTTTGGGAGGAGTTTCTCAATATATATAACTTGAAACTAACTGGGGATACGGTGCGGACTGTGTATACCGGCACTAGGGTACCTCAAGAAGAAACGGAAAAGGATACGGGCATCTGAGATGACCTTTTTATTTGAGGTCACGTGCACAGCTCAGACAAGCCACTCCTTTTACTGCTGTACTGAATCAAGATATCTTGCGAAACAATTCACAGTACAAAAAAGGCTACATTTTCTCGGAGATCATGGAGTTCAACACAGTTATGATGAAGAACGTCAACCTTTTTGTGACACTTTTCTGAGCGTGCTTTATAGAATGTTAGAGTCAGTTTATATATCTCCCTCTCTGCAGCTGCTCTTCAGGTTAGCGTGTGCATCGCTGTAACATATGTCGAGCTGAACTCTTATCCACATATGTACAAACACTTGTACATGTAATAGACACAAATACATACACACACATAAAGCACGCACGTACACACACACACATGCACACCTTCACACATATACACACAGGCATTCATACACACACGTACACACAGACACAAATACATACACACAGACATACACACACATGAACACATACGCACGCACATATACACACCTTCACACACATACACATACACACACATAGACATACATAGACATGTACACACTGACACAAATACGTACACACACATACACGCACACGCACGCACACACCTTCACACACATACACACGGACACAAATACATACACACAGACATACAGACACGCACACTCAGACACACACACGCACGCAAACTCACACATATACACACAGGCATACATACACACAGACACACGCACGCCAACATATCGAGAAATTATGCCTTATTTGCTTTCATCGCTGTACTATGATGAGAAATAGACACCAAGCATTACCTACTCGCCTTTCTTGGTTTGAATATATATATCACATTCAATTCTCAAAGCTGCTTCATATCGCAGATAATTTGTCACACAATGTTCTTGTGTTGAGAGTCCCACTTCTGTTCTCAACCAATCCGTTGTGTGAGTTGAACTGCCATATCGTCAACTTCCTCGTTCATTCAACAGGCCATTGTGTTTATTGTTGTTGCGGTACTCACATTGTTTAAAGAGTCAGTAATTTTACACAATAGCTTTAGATAAATCTATTTTTTTAAATATTTTTACACAGACTCCATTGTCTACAACCAGCCGTCATATTGCGGGAATATTGAGAGTACGGCTTTACGCAACACACACAAAAACAAAAACGAACAATTTGATAAAATGCCGTACAGCGTTCTGAGCTATATTGTACAGAGAAACCCTACACATTCTTAGCGTTGGATTATCACAGCGAGTTCGAAATTACAACGAACGACGAACTTGACGTTTTGTTCAAAAACTGTATTTTTAAAATCTTGTCATCGTATAAGTCAGTGCCTGTGAAGTACTATTGTGGACGTCTATCCCACGGTGCCTTGGTTCCCGAAGAGTAGGTCTTGCCTGCAACAGCGAAAGACATTTCTTAAAGAGTACAAAGTTTTATTCAATTAATAAGACACTTTTGACACCAATGATGCTCTGTGGATTAAAACTCTTTGCCATGATGCGGGTTTGCGCACACTACATTCCTCCATCATCCGTGACGACATACGGCGCCTTTGCTGTGTAATCGTTACGCGTGTCTAAGTTTAGTCAGGTAATATAATGAAGTCGTGTATAACATACGAAAGTCAAATGAGCCCTGCTCAATGCGTGGACTTCATGCTAACCCTACCGTGACCTGATATCGCAGGCTTCTCACGGTGATATCCCGTTCGCGGAGCTCTCTGTACTATCGACCCTTGAAGATCCGGGTTAGAAAAGGTCTTCAGGATCGCTGACTTGGTTGATGCATGTCATCGATTCCAATTGTGTGGATCGATGCTCATGATATTAATCACTGCATTGTTTGGTCCAGACTCGATTATTTACAGACCGCCGTCATATAGCTGGAATATTGCTGAGTGCGGCGTTAAACAACAAACCAACCAAACAAATCTCTATACTATCGCTGCAACCAGTCACAGCTCCCCACTCTGATAGGAGACCACAACCCATCTTCCCGAGGCAAGGGAGTTAACTGACTTTAAAAGTCCAGTGGATTTTATAGTCAGTTAACTCACTTGCCCCCGGAAGATGACCACAACCATGCTTGGAGTTGAACTCGCAACCGAATGACTGTTATGTTTACAAACAAGTGATGACTGTCGTGACGCCGAATACTCTTACCCATTCTAAATCATCCTCTTTGTCAATTTGAATTTCTGTTTCATTACAGCTACCATGTAATTGAGATAGTAAGAATGTGAGGGAGAAGTTTGTCGATTTTTCGTTCGTCTGCAATCACGAACTAATCCGATCAAACGCACAAAAATGTAATTACATCTGTGAAATATGGTCAGTCGTAAACCTTTTCAAAAGTAACTGTAATGGCATTTCCAAAGACATAAACAAATGTATGAACGTTACTGCATTTTGGGTTAGAGGGCAAATTTCAAGATTCTTATTATGGCCGCGCCCACACTGGTGATACCGAGAGCATAACGAAGGTATCACGCGTTGGGAAGGAGCTTGTTGATATCGAAGTAGTGTGTAGAACCGATGGATTTTGCACACGTTGCAAGAGAAATAGTTCCGATGTAATCTGAGCGCCCATTGGTTAGAGCTCTCTCTGGAACCCATTCGTCACCACTCGCCCCTTTCCGTAACCTGCAAGAAGATCGGCTTGTCCCGGAATAACACGAGTTGGTCACGACTGGCTGGAACCATGCAGGCCGTAGTTTGATTCGTTGGCTAAAAATAGCGACTACATCACAAAGCGGGGAATGTAGTCACGGGGAATTGAGGAACGCAGAGTATATAAACCGTGAATTATTGACGATGATTAGGACTAAAATAATTTACGAATTGTAAAGGACAGATTTCTACGAAATCTACACCGGAAATTTGAGATGGAAGTTACTTTCAATGAACATATAATGTGTGTAGCGAGACCCCGTTAGTCCGGACACTGCACATACCGGCCAACTTCAGTTAGGGAATGTTGTCATATACACATGACAATAGTGATTCAGTAATCCTGGTTTAATCAGGGCGATCTCTCAGTGGGAATCTTATTCAGTGACCCAGCCTATCACGAGAGGCGACTAACGGGATCGGGTGGTCAGGCTGGCTGACTTGGTTGATGCATGTCATCGTATTCCAATCGCATAGATCGATGCTCATGATGTCAATCAGTGGATTGTCTGGTCCAGAATCGATTATTTACAGACCGCCGTCATATAGCTGGGATACTGCTTCGTGTGGCGTTAAACAACAAACAAACAAAATAATTGGAACCGTTCGGATTAACGAGGTTTAAGTGTATCTCTGATCATGATTTTCTATCATGCTCTTACCAGTGTCCAAGACAATATGTCCGGCAGTGTTCGTTAATCTCCGCCGTAGCATGGTTCGGCCATGTTGCGTTTTGGTCATCCAAACATTTCATCTCGCAGACTTGGAAAGGCGTGATCAGCTGGCACAAAACAGGAGCTGTGGACAGTGTTTTTTTAGTTAGTTTATTTGTGAGATATTCCACCAATATCCAGAAATGGGCTTCACAAATTGTACATGTAAGGAACCCACCCCAGGCCTCTGACGTGTCGAGCGACTTCGGAAACCACGAGGCTACTTCCCCGGCCTGTTAATTTGTGAGGCTGAGGCTGATAGAAAGCAACATTGAATATATGTTCGTCATAGTCGCCGTCTCAGTTTAACACATTTGTTTCTCAATAAAGATTTAGATGTTAGGATACCTTCTTACCTGAAAATAACTTGCAAAACTGTGCTGTGCGATCTGACAAAGCTCGGTAAAAGGTAAGAATTCAAAATATTGTTTATAATATACACATGCACAAAAGTTAAGCGCCACCATACTCATAGTCTCTTGATTTCACGTGTGGGAATCAGAAATACGAAATATGATGATGTATGACTGAATTAGGCTTCCATAGTTTCATGAGCCCAAATTTGTCCAGATACCACAAGGAAAGCGTGCTTTACGTGTTGCTGCAGTTCCACTACCCTATAAATAGTAAAATTCAAGTTTCAGACACGTGGTTGCATTTTGCTCCTGTGTGAGATTCCCCTTCCAATAGAAAATTGAAAATCAGCCATGGTGAGGAGAAAGTTAACGAACGCTGAAAGATGGCAAGTGATAGGCATGAAAAATGCTGGCATGTCATGCAGGGCCATTGCAAGACAAATGGGTCGTCATCACAGTGTTATCACTCGTTTGATTGTCAAACATGGTCAAACCAATGATGTCAATGACAGGCATAGGTCTGGTAGGCCAAGAAAGACCTCTAACAGAGAGGATAGACGTCTTTTCAGGATAGTCAGACGAAATCCATTTGCCACTTCAACAGATTTAAGACTGCAGTGGATTACCCATCAGAGACTCTCGACGATGACCGTAAGGCGTCGGTTATAACGCCAGAAGACCAGTAAAACGTCCTCAACTGACTGAGAGGCACATGCGGAATCGTCTGATATGGTGTCGTGCCCGTAGTCGATGGAACTTGGCCAACTGGAGAAGGATCCATTGGTCTGACGAGTGTCGAATGCTGCTACGAACTGTTGAAGACCTTAGCATGTGGCATGTGGCGGGGGTCTTCATACAAGACCTGTTTACATGGACGACAATACTAGACCACACAGATCTCGAACAGTTTGGGCTTATTTGCGTCAAGAAGCTATTGCCACTCTTCCTTGGCCGGGCTGTAGTCCGGATCTTAATCCGACTGAGCATCTCTGGGACATTCTTGGCCGGAAAATAAGACATCGTGATCCCCCAGTTCAAAATCTCGCTGGACTTGAAGCCGCACTTCATGAAGAATGGATCCGTTTGCCTCAGAGAAGCATTCAACGACTTGTAATGAGTATGAGGCGTAGGGTTGAAGCTGTGGTCAATGTCCGTGGATCATACACACGTTACTGCCGTTTCTGTCTTGCAATAGACTCTGCACTCCCTTGGGTGTCTATGTGACACCTGATATGGTCTGCTGATATCATGACAGTTACATGACAAAAAAAAAGTTTTTCAATGTTTTCTTATCCTTCAATTTCTGGTCTTCGGTAAAATTCCTTTCTGCTCATATTCTTTTGGAACACAAGATAAACTTGCTTTGGGACAACTTTTGCATCACATGAGGTTTACATATACGGCTTATAACAATCGTACATCTCGTTATGATAGTCATCATTAAGTGCCAAAAGAAACAGTTCATAAATATGGTGGGTGGCGCTTAACATTTGTTCATGTGTATTTATTATCCATAAGGAAATATCAAAATTGATCTTTAAATAGCAATGAATGATTTCAATAAGAAATAAATTTGTTGTAGTTATTCTCATTCGGGAAGCAAATAAAAAGGACAATAAAATAATGTTATGCCGCCTTGTCTTATTCGGATGTAAATAAATCGGCTGAGTCGGCATCAACGAAGTTGGCTGTCATAAAATCGGATGGAACCAAGTCGAAATACGAAATAGGGTGTAAACAAAGCGACAAAACTGTTTCCATAATCATGAAGAAATATCTGCTAAAGCAGAATCCATTGTACGATTCCAGTTAGTGGTGATACCAGGTGTTCGCGAAAAGGTGCGCGTATCACAAACACATGCAAAGGCCAGTCAATTGAAACAGATCGGCGGCTTTTATTTCTAGTCCATGTGGGTAAATCAGTGGATGGGGATTTCTGACAATAATTGAACGTCGATACCCTTATCAGCTCATCGATATACCTGAGTTACACTTCTTGGCCAAATTCCCGTGTGATCTTTTCGGAGTCGGACAACGAGTTTTGATAACGAGATCGGATGTTAAGAAGTCGGGTGCAACTAAATCGGGTACAACTAAATCGAGTGCAAAAAGGATGGTTGTAAGGAACTCGGTTTTAGCGAAGTGTCGAGTGTAGCGAAATGGAGTCTAAAAGAGTCCACTCTAATGACGTCGGTTGTAAAGAAGTTGGGTGTAACGAAGACGGTTGTAAAGAAGTTGGGTGTAACGAAGACGGTTGTAAAGAAGTTGGGTGTAAAGAAGACGGTTGTAAAGAAGTTGGGTGTAACAAGGACGGTTGTAAAGAAGTTGGGTGTAACGAAGACGGTTTTAAAGAAGTTGGGTGTAACGAAGACGGCTGTAAAGAAGTTGGGTGTAACAAAGATGGTTGTAAAGACGTTGGGTGTAACGAAGACGATTGTAAAGAAGTTGGGTGTAACGAAGACGGCTGTAAAGAAGTTGGGTGTAACGAAGACGGTTGTAAAGAAGTCGGTTGTAAAGAAGTTGGGTGTAACGAAGACGGTTTTAAAGACGTTGGGTGTAACGAAGACGATTGTAAAGAAGTTGGGTGTAACGAAGACGGCTGTAAAGAAGTTGGGTGTAACGAAGACGGTTGTAAAGAAGTCGGTTGTAAAGAAGTTGGGTGTAACGAAGACGGCTGTAAAGAAGTTGGGTGTAACGAAGACAGTTGTAAAGAAGTTGGGTGTAACGAAGACGGTTGTAAAGAAGTTGGGTGTAACAAAGACGGTTGTAAAGAAGTTGGGTGTTACGAAGACGGTTGTAAAAAGGCGGTTGTAAAGAAGTTGGGTGTAACGAAGGCGGCTGTAAAGAAGTTGGGTGTAACGAAGACGGTTGTAAAGAAGTCGGTTGTAAAGAAGACGGTTGTAAAGAAGTTGGGTGTAACAAGACGGTTGTAAAGAAATTGGGTGTAATGAAGACGGCTGTAAAGAAGTTGGGTGTAAAGAAGTTTGGTGTAACGAAGACGATTGTAAAGAAGTTGGTTGTAACGAAGACGGTTGTAAAGAAGTCGGTTGTAAAGAAGTTGGGTGTAATGAAGACGGCTGTAAAGAAGTTGGGTGTAACGAAGACGGTTGTAAAGAAGTTGGGTGTAACGAAGATGGTTGTAAAGAAGTTGGGTGTAACGAAGACGGTTTTAAAGAAGTTGGGTGTAACGAAGACGGCTGTAAAGAAGTTGGGTGTAACAAAGATGGTTGTAAAGAAGTTGGGTGTAACGAAGACGATTGTAAAGAAGTTGGGTGTAACGAAGACGGCTGTAAAGAAGTCGGTTGTAAAGAAGACGGTTGTAAAGAAGTTGGGTGTAACGAAGACGGTTGTAAAGAATTTGGGTGTAACGAAGACGGTTGTAAAGAAGTTGGGTGTAACGAAGACGGTTTTAAAGAAGTTGGGTGTAACGAAGACGGCTGTAAAGAAGTTGGGTGTAACGAAGACGGCTGTAAAGAAGTTGGGTGTAACGAAGACGTTGTAAAGAAGTTGGGTGTAACGAAGACGGTTGTAAAGAAGTTGGGTGTAACGAAGACGGTTTTAAAGAAGTTGGGTGTAACGAAGACGGTTGTAAAGAAGTTGGGTGTAAAGAAGACGGTTGTAAAGAAGTTGGGTGTAACAAAGACGGTTGTAAAGAAGTTGGGTGTTACGAAGACGGTTGTAAAGAAGTCGGTTGTAAAGAAGTTGGGTGTAACGAAGGCGGCTGTAAAGAAGTTGGGTGTAACGAAGACGGTTGTAAAGAAGTTAGGTGTAAAGAAGACGGTTGTAAAGAAGTTGGGTGTAACAAGACGGTTGTAAAGAAATTGGGTGTAACTAAGACGGCTGTAAAGAAGTTTGGTGTAAAGAAGTTTGGTGTAACGAAGATGGTTGTAAAGAAGTTGGGTGTAACGAAGACGGTTTTAAAGAAGTTGGGTGTAACGAAGACGGTTGTAAAGAAGTTGGGTGTATCAAGACGGTTGTAAAGAAATTGGGTGTAATGAAGCCGGCTGTAAAGAAGTTTGGTGTAAAGAAGTTTGGTGTAAAGAAGACGGTTGTAAAGAAGTTGGTTGTAACGAATACGGTTGTAAAGAAGTCGGTTGTAAAGAAGTTGGGTGTAATGAAGACGGCTGTAAAGAAGTTGGGTGTAACGAAGACGGTTTTAAAGAAATTGGGTGTAACGAAGACGGCTGTAAAGAAGTTGGGTGTAACAAAGATGGTTGTAAAGAAGTTGGGTGTAACGAAGACGATTGTAAAGAAGTTGGGTGTAACGAAGACGGCTGTAAAGAAGTTGGGTGTAAAGAAGACGGTTGTAAAGAAGTTGGGTGTAACAAAGATGGTTGTAAAGAAGTTGGGTGTAACAAAGATGGTTGTAAAGAAGTTGGGTGTAACAAAGATGGTTGTAAAGAAGTTGGGTGTAACAAAGACGGTTGTAAAGAAGTTGGGTGTAACAAGACGGTTGTAAAGAAATTGGGTGTAATGAAGACAGCTGTAAAGAAGTTGGGTGTAAAGAAGTTTGGTGTAACGAAGACGATTGTAAAGAAGTTGGTTGTAACGAAGACGGTTGTAAAGAAGTCGGTTGTAAAGAAGTTGGGTGTAATGAAGACGGCTGTAAAGAAGTTGGGTGTAACGAAGACGGGTGTAAAGAATTTGGGTGTAATGAAGATGGTTGTAAAGAAGTTGGGTGTAACGAAGACGGTTTTAAAGAAGTTGGGTGTAACGAAGACGGCTGTAAAGAAGTTGGGTGTAACAAAGATGGTTGTAAAGAAGTTGGGTGTAACGAAGACGATTGTAAAGAAGTTGGGTGTAACGAAGACGGCTGTAAAGAAGTCGGTTGTCAAGAAGACGGTTGTAAAGAAGTTGGTTGTAACGAAGACGGTTGTAAAGAATTTGGGTGTAACGAAGACGGTTGTAAAGAAGTTGGGTGTAACGAAGACGGTTTTAAAGAAGTTGGGTGTAACGAAGACGGCTGTAAAGAAGTTGGGCGTAACGAAGACGGTTGTAAAGAAGTTGGGTGTAACGAAGACGGTTGTAAAGAAGTTGGGTGTAACGAAGACGGTTTTAAAGAAGTTGGGTGTAACGAAGACGATTGTAAAGAAGTTGGGTGTAAAGAAGACGGTTGTAAAGAAGTTGGGTGTAACAAAGACGGTTGTAAAGAATTTGGGTGTTACGAAGACGGTTGTAAAGAAGTCGGTTGTAAAGAAGTTGGGTGTAACGAAGGCGGCTGTAAAGAAGTTGGGTGTAACGAAGACGGTTGTAAAGAAGTTAGGTGTAAAGAAGACGGTTGTAAAGAAGTTGGGTGTAACGAAGACGATTGTAAAATAGTTGGGTGTAACGAAGACGGCTGTAAAGAAGTTGGGTGTAAAGAAGACGGTTGTAAAGAAGTTGGGTGTAACAAAGATGGTTGTAAAGAAGTTGGGTGTAACAAAGATGGTTGTAAAGAAGTTGGGTGTAACGAAGACGGTTGTAAAGAAGTTGGGTGTAACGAAGACGGTTGTAAAGAAGTTGGGTGTAACGAAGACAGTTGTAAAGAAGTCGGTTGTAACGAAGACGGTTGTAAAGAAGTTCGGTGTAACGAAGACGGCTGTAAAGAAGTTGGGTGTAACAAAGATGGTTTTAAAGAAGTTGGGTGTAAAGAAGACGGTTGTAAAGAAGTTGGGTGTAACAAAGATGGTTGTAAAGAAGTTGGGTGTAACAAAGATGGTTGTAAAGAAGTTGGGTGTAACAAAGACGGTTGTAAAGAAGTTGGGTGTAACGAAGACGGTTGTAAAGAAGTTGGGTGTAACGAAGACAGTTGTAAAGAAGTCGGTTGTAACGAAGACGGTTGTAAAGAAGTTGGGTGTAACAAGACGGTTGTAAAGAAATTGGGTGTAATGAAGACAGCTGTAAAGAAGTTGGGTGTAAAGAAGTTTGGTGTAACGAAGACGATTGTAAAGAAGTTGGTTGTAACGAAGACGGTTGTAAAGAAGTCGGTTGTAAAGAAGTTGGGTGTAATGAAGACGGCTGTAAAGAAGTTGGGTGTAACGAAGACGGGTGTAAAGAATTTGGGTGTAACGAAGATGGTTGTAAAGAAGTTGGGTGTAACGAAGACGGTTTTAAAGAAGTTGGGTGTAACGAAGACGGCTGTAAAGAAGTTGGGTGTAACAAAGATGGTTGTAAAGAAGTTGGGTGTAACGAAGACGATTGTAAAGAAGTTGGGTGTAACGAAGACGGCTGTAAAGAAGTCGGTTGTAAAGAAGACGGTTGTAAAGAAGTTGGGTGTAACGAAGACGGTTGTAAAGAATTTGGGTGTAACCAAGACGGTTGTAAAGAAGTTGGGTGTAACGAAGACGGTTTTAAAGAAGTTGGGTGTAACGAAGACGGCTGTAAAGAAGTTGGGTGTAACGAAGACGGTTTTAAAGAAGTTGGGTGTAACGAAGACGGTTGTAAAGAAGTTGGGTGTAACGAAGACGGTTTTAAAGAAGTTGGGTGTAACGAAGACGATTGTAAAGAAGTTGGGTGTAAAGAAGACGGTTGTAAAGAAGTTGGGTGTAACAAAGACGGTTGTAAAGAATTTGGGTGTTACGAAGACGGTTGTAAAGAAGTCGGTTGTAAAGAAGTTGGGTGTAACGAAGGCGGCTGTAAAGAAGTTGGGTGTAACGAAGACGGTTGTAAAGAAGTTAGGTGTAAAGAAGACGGTTGTAAAGAAGTTGGGTGTAACGAAGACGATTGTAAAATAGTTGGGTGTAACGAAGACGGCTGTAAAGAAGTTGGGTGTAAAGAAGACGGTTGTAAAGAAGTTGGGTGTAACAAAGATGGTTGTAAAGAAGTTGGGTGTAACAAAGATGGTTGTAAAGAAGTTGGGTGTAACGAAGACGGTTGTAAAGAAGTTGGGTGTAACGAAGACGGTTGTAAAGAAGTTGGGTGTAACGAAGACAGTTGTAAAGAAGTCGGTTGTAACGAAGACGGTTGTAAAGAAGTTCGGTGTAACGAAGACGGCTGTAAAGAAGTTGGGTGTAACAAAGATGGTTTTAAAGAAGTTGGGTGTAACAAAGACGGTTGTAAAAAAGTTGGGTGTAACGAAGACGACTGTAAAGAAGTTGGGTGTAACGAAGACGGCTGGAAAGAAATTGGGTGTTACGAAGACGGTTGTAAAGAAGTTGGATGTAACGAAGACGGTTGTAAAGAAGTTGGGTGTAACGAAGACGGTTGTAAAGAAGTCGGTTGTAAAGAAGTTAGGTGCAACGAAGACGGTTGGTAGGGAGTCAGATAGTCGAATGTACGATGTAATGTCAGGTGGGATAAAACCAAATAATTACGTCAGATAGTCGGATGTTAGAAAAACGGAAATGTAACGACGTCAGATACTCGGATGATACGAAGATAGGTGTAACGAAATAGGGTGTAATGACGTCAGGTAGTCAGATGTAACGAAGCCGGTGTGTAACAGAAATTAACGTCAGGTAGTCAGATGTAACGAAGCCGGTGTGTAACAAATTAACGTCAGGTAGTCAGATGTAACGAAGCCGGTGTGTAACAAATTAACGTCAGGTAGTCAGATGTAACGAAGACAGGTGTAACAAATTAACGTCAGGTAGTCAGATGTAACGAAGCCGGTGTGTAACAAATTAATGTCAGGTAGTCAGATGTAACGAAGCCGGTGTGTAACAAATTAACGTCAGGTAGTCAGATGTAACGAAGCCGGTGTGTAACAAATTAACGTCAAGAGTCAGATGTAACGAAGCCGGTGTGTAACAAATTAACGTCAAGTAGTCAGATGTAACGAAGCCGGTGTGTAACAAATTAATGTCAGGTAGTCAGATCTAACGAAGCCGGTGTGTAACAAATTAACGTCAAGTAGTCAGATGTAACGAAGCCGGTGTGTAACAAATTAACGTCAAGTAGTCAGATGTAACGAAGCCGGTGTGTAACAAATTAACGTCAGGTAGTCAGATGTAACGAAGCCGGTGTGTAACAAATTAACGTCAGGTAGTCAGATGTAACGAAGCCGGTGTGTAACAAATTAACGTCAGGTAGTCAGATGTAACGAAGCCGGTGTGTAACAAATTAACGTCAGGTAGTCAGATGTAACGAAGCCGGTGTGTAACAAATTAATGTCAGGTAGTCAGATGTAACGAAGCCGGTGTGTAACAAATTAATGTCAGGTAGTCAGATGTAACGAAGACAGGTGTAACAAATTAATGTCAGGTAGTCAGATGTAACGAAAACAGGTGTAACGTCAGACAGTCGCCATGTTCCTCCGTGACGTAGAAATGAAAGCAGTCTGTAATACAAGGCACAAGGTCATACAAATATATATTCCAACAGTCCGTTCCTGTCAGTCTTTTCATAATTCTTTCGGCAATTGCGTATTTACGTCCCAAACGGTATATATGAAAAGTGCTGTGACTTCCAACACGTCGCCATTGTTAAAATGGCTTCTCTACTACACATGTACCTTCACACAAAAATGAATAAAAGATATACTAAAATAAAATAGTGTGCAGATTAACACAACCGATGTATATTGATATTCTCAACATGCTGTTCATTACTTGCGACTCAAACAAAAGTTAATTTACACTCGATTGTTACATATAACTATAGTCATAATGTCATGTCCCGATTGTTACATATAAATATAGTTATTATGTCAAGTCCCGACTGTTTCATATAACTATAGTCATAAAGTCAAGACCCGATTGTTTCATATAACTATAGTCATTATGTCATGTCCCGATTGTTTATATAACTATAGTCATAATGTCATGTCCCGATTATTTCATATAATTATAGTTATTATGTCATGTCACGATTGTTTCATATGACAACAGTTAATCTGTCAATGTCCGATTTTTTCGTATGACTATCACATGAACATGACAGATTAACTCTAGGCATATGAAAAAATCGGGTGTTCTTCTACATCTTTTGAGTAGTATATTTTTGTTTGAAAACGAATGTATCATTCTGAAAGGATGTTTTTAAGAGCGGCTTCATCTATAACGACTTTCACAATGTTGTCTTTAAGCATGAATATAATCAATTAACTGACCTGCGAGTATGCAGACAAAGAGAAAGGCAGCAAGACGACCCATTCTGACAAGTGTTCCTGCTAATCTGACACAATAACACGAAGTCAGCTGCTCGTACAGAGATAAGCATCAAGATACCGTAGTTCTGGCATTAATGGCGCCAAGTGTCACTGCCTTTGTGTTTCTATGCTCGGATTATAACTAGCATATTGTTTATTTTACAATTTATAACTTGTGAAACTTACACAGTCGTCTGAATATAAACGCGTTTTGTTATATAATTGTATAACATTATAGAACCATTGAAAAGGGTCAAGAGAGAATTATATTCAGTAGGTATTCCAGGTTAATGTGTGAATAACCTATATTTGTAATTGAGAATTGTGTGTTATTCATAAGGGCTCGTTATAAAATATACGTGCCTGACTTAGAAACTAGATTGCCTGAGTATATAAAAAGGATAGTGTGTAGTATACATGATGCATAATACGGATATAGCATTCAGAAGTGCACCTTAATTATTGGATATAATTATCTATAACATATGGCATCAAGTATTATTGGAATTTCATCCTCGATTTTCAAGTGTATATTATCTCCACTGTCTTACGCACTTGCTACCACAACTGCGTTTTAGAAATGACGTCACATCTCCATGTCTCTCAGCTTCTTCCCACAGATTAATTCTCGCACATGAGTGCAATTTGATTGGCGACCTATTTTTAGCGTTGTGGCATCCTACTATCGAATCGAAAAGTAGGTGTGGTCGGGAATGGATGCAGGGTGTATACATACAACCTTGCGATATGATACATTTGGTAATAAAGGGATGGTGTTACTTCTAACACACTTCGGTTACACGTACATTTCAGTCACAGATAAAGGAGGACTTAGATTTAATAAATCACTGGCAGTGGATATTCAAATCTTTCAGTGAAATAAAACCTCCATCTCTTCCGATGACGATACCCTGATATGAATAATGAAAATATCTTTTTTTAAAGGGACCCCCTTGCATAATACCGTGTTTGAAATACGCATAATGACGGAAAGCGTACGTAAAATCTCCAATAACTTGGTTCTTGCATTGCAAGTGGGATACAAATTAGGAGTTTGTTTATGTTGTACATTACGGTACAAACACCTGCTCACGCTCACACTCACCTCGCCTATATAACAGTATACTGTCTGCTGTGCCCTTTGACCGGTATTATCATATGGATATAATTACGGGATATTTCACTTTAATATCACACAGTAGTTCTTTTTAACCTTTGTCTTTTATTGCATTTTTAATGTATATTGGCGATGTATACTAAGTGCATAACATATACTGCCGGGCAAAAGAAAGTATACACTTGACATTTGGATTTGAGACCAAAACATTACAAACGCCGAAATACTGCAAACTTAAGAGTTGAGTGGTCCGAGTTGTCTGAATGTCTGAGGGTATGTATGAGGTTAATACAAGAGAGGTATGACGAAACGTGCCCCCAGAGTCATGGTGACGTCGTGTGGGTGTTTTGTAATGTCTGTTCACGTGAGTGCGGGCCTGTTACAGCTATGTTTCTGTTGTTGTACAAATTAGACAAACAATAAACATATTTTTCTTTTTCTGGATAGACTCTGGATAAAGAAACTCTGGATAGACTCTGGAAAGACTGAATAAACTCTGGATAGACTCTGGATATACTCCGGATAGACTCTGGATAGATTCTGGATAGAGTCTGGATAAATAACCTCTGGATAAACTCTGGATAGACTCTGGATAGATTCTGGATAGACTCTGGATAAACTCTGGATAGACTCCGGATAGATTCTGGATAGACTCTGGATAAACTCCGGATAGACTCTGGATAGATTCTGGATAAACTTTGGATAGACTCTGGATATACTCTGGATAGACTCTGGATATACTCCGGATAGACTCTGGATAGACTCTGGATAGACTCCGGATATACTCTGGATAGACTCTGGATAAACTTTAGATAGACTTTGGATAGACTCCGGTAGACTCTGGATAGACTCTGGATAGACTCTGGATATACTCCGGATAGACTCTGGATAGACTCTGGATAGATTCTGGATAGACTCTGGATAAACTCCGGATAGACTCTGGATAGATTCTGGATAAACTTTGGATAGACTCTGGATATACTCTGGATAGACTCTGGATATACTCCGGATAGACTCTGGATAGACTCTGGATAGACTCCGGATATACTCTGGATAGACTCTGGATAAACTTTAGATAGACTTTGGATAGACTCCGGTAGACTCTGGATAGACTCTGGATAGACTCTGGATATACTCCGGATAGACTCTGGATAGACTCTGGATAGATTCTTGATAAACTCCGGATAGACTCTGGATAAACTTTGGATAGACTCCGATCTGTAATTTTTTATATATTTGTTTTACGCCGTACTCAGCAATATTCCAGCTATATGACGGCGATCTGTAAATAATCGAGTCTGGACCAGACAATCCAGTGATTCATATCTTGATCCACGCAATTGGCATACGATGACATGCATCAACCAAGTCAGCGAGCCTGACCACCCGATCCCGTTAGCCGCCTTCTACAACAAGCAAAGTCGCCTTTTACGGCAAGCATGGTTGCTGAAGACCTATTTCACCCTGGATCTTCACGGGTAACCAGTTGTTAATCATTTGTTTGAAAAAGGTACAAGCACCCAAATCGTAATGTCGCATTGAAAGAATACAAAAGTTGAAATCCAAGTGAACCCCGTGTTTGGTAAATAAACATATAGAAATACTACTGTACACACCTATATATGCGGAGTAAATTGAACAAAGCGTACATATATTTTATTACTACAAAAAAAAACGTATAGAAAAATTATTCAAGAAATTCCTGCCCAAAACCTTTTTTTAAAAATTCTTTGTCTATCAGCTTCAAAATCAAAAACCAAAAATTGAAATTGTGGTTTTTTCCAACCTACCGACATGACATGGAATTTTGGCCCAAAAAAGTCTGGCCTTACAGAAAAAAAGTTTGCAGGGTCGAGAGGCATCGAACCATACTATTTGTCGATCTGTGCTCTTGTAAAGAAACGACAATAATTCAACCCTTTGCACTCGATTCCGCCTTTCTTGCACTTCGACCTGCCGTGAGTCATGAAGAATCATGTAGAGTCATGTTGTGGCATGTAGATCACAGAGAAACCATTTTGCAGACGTGTGTCATTTGCATGCCTTTGCATGTGTTTGTGACGGGTGCCAACGGTGGGGCCGGATAAGCTTACCTTTTCGCGAACACCTGGCGTCATCACTATTTGATAGTGGTTCAAACGACTCTGGTTAGCAGAGATTTCTTATGAATTCAGACAGGGCTTTTTCGCTTTTATTTATTCAATACATGCAAGATGTGTCGAACGAAGATCGAAATCACAATGGAAATTTTACAGAACAAGGGAGACAACTGCTATGGCAAGGATAAGGGCAAATCAAAACAAAGATGGCTGACATAGCCTGGATTCTTATACAATGTATATTCCTGTGCGTAAAATATCCTAGACGGAATGGATGCTGTGCAATATTTACAATTTATATTATATTACTCACTCCTGTGTTAGCCTCTTCCAGCAAAACTGCTGGAATTGAGTTCAGAAAAGTGGAAAAGTTCGGCTCGAAGAGAAGCATATCTGGCGATGCCGACACAGTGTCGAGTTTGACAGCTAATGTTCGTGGATGGCTGTCGGAGGCAGGCGGCGAGAAGATGGCGGATGGGAGGGTACATCTGGTAGGTTTTGTCGATGATAGTATGTTTACGTGCTTGTTAATATGTTCGTAGTAACTGATCAGCAATAAATATGGCTTAGCCGAATGTTTACATATTTTGGAAGGGAGGTAACTCTTATTTACGACCATTCCTTTGCGTACTGGGAAGTACTAATGGAATGTTGGATCGAGTGTATAGTTTTCATTGTGTTATTTTAGAATCGATGATAGGTAATATGTTTGTAAATTACAATCATTGGGAATGCAAACCTGTATCCAAGTTTATCATATTGGAGCAACGTCTACATGGGTTGGCTAAAATGATATTCTTGTTTCTCAAGATTATTTTTCACACTGACTTGATAGGGAAGGAGGAATTTATAAAATTTGATATTTTTGGCAGGTTATAAATTTATGAATTTGATAAAAGTGCACTTGATTCTTATGTCCCATAAGGCCACGCTCTCTGTCGTCCGAAGTCCAAGAAAGGTGGAATCCAGTGCAAAGTGTTTCATCTTGTTTATTTACAAGCATGACAAGAGCACAGACAAATACTCTGGTTCCATGACTAGCAGTTCATCAATGGCACTTTCGCTTTCCTCTCATTGCCCATGAACCTATTAGCCAGGTGTCTGTGAAAATCTCAATATATGCTGCTCACGCTCGCCGTACATGGCTGTGTATTGGTTAATACATTATTGGGATATATAAGATATATAAGATAGCTACACGATAAATCACAAAGAACAATGAAGAACGAAGCGTGGTTTATTTCCGATAAAACATTGTTCTGTCATGACATCATTTCTCGAGATTTGAATATGCGCTCACAACTTAATGACGTCATATACTGGATGACATTATTTTTTAGAGGGAAGTGGGTGGTAAGTTGTTCCCCACAGATGTAGCTGGGCTACACAGATAAATGCAGTGGCTGAACGATTGCATCCAAAAGTGGGAGAGATATGACTGATAATAGGTATTTTGAGAAAAGGTACAGATAATAGACGTGAGGATTGTGAGAATATGTGGGAAATACCAAACTTAACCTACCTGTTCGTAAAATGGACTTGTCCAACATGGTTTGTGCCCCCCCATGGTCTATTCTCCCTGCAGTGTTTTGTTGTACGATAAACAACTCCCACTCGTCATTTATTTCTTAAATAATTGTACCCCACATGGCCATATACAATAAACACTTTTGCTGTGCTCTAAATATGTTACTTGCACATTATTTTGTTCAAATTAGGATTTGTTATGTTCTTATTTTCTTAGAAACGCTAAACATGCTAAAGTGAGAGGCACTCAATGCGATAATGTATGACCTTGTATGACTTACCACTGGTTCTCTTATCACTGACGTCACCTTGACCAAGCCTTCCCAAAGTTTTAACAATGACATGAATTGGGAATTCTTAAATTCCAAATTGGGAATTTTAACTGAAATATCCTCATGACACAGGCCTCTGAGTGAGTGAGTGAGTGAGTGAGTTGGGTTTAACGCCGCTTTTATCAGTATTCCAGTTATATCACGGCGTGTCAGCTTAATGTGGGAGGAAAGCCCGAAGTGATGCAGGTCTCAGACGTTTACCACTTCGGTGAAACCCACGAGCACGGGTATGGTGCTGACAAACCTAGAAACATAATCTGGGCGAACCGGGATTCGAACCCACAATCATAGGTTTCTGGCGTGCCCAAGGGACGCAACTCTGCACAGCGAATCGCGGCGCCTTAGACGACTGGGCCACCCGTGCCCCCGCCTCTGAGTGGGTACAGTATGATTGCATTGGAGAAACCCAAAACCAATAAAGATGAGCAACTCAAACCATTGTTTAAACACATGTTATAAACTGTTTTATTTAACATGTTATAAACTGTTTTATTTAACATGTTATAAACTGTTTTATTTAACACGTTATAAACTGTTTTATTTAACATGCTATAACTGTTTTATTTAACATGTTATATACTGTTTTATTTAACATGTTATAAACTGTTTTATTTAACATGTTATATACTGTTTTATTTAACATGTTATAAACTGTTTTATTTAACACGTTATAAACTGTTTTATTTAACACGTTATAAACTGTTTTATTTAACATGTTATAAACTGTTTTATTTAACATGTTATACACTGTTGTATTTAACATGTTATGAACTGTATTATTTAACATGCTATAAACTGTTTTATTTAACATGCTATAAACTGTTTTATTTAACATGTTATAAACTGTTTTATTTGGTCTGCGTCAGATTGAAGATTCCTGCGGCCATCAGGATGAGAAAAGTTTCGCCCGACTTCCAAAAGACTGGGTGGGGGTCCTGTACTACGCTGATGACATCATCGACACCATCACGGACAACGGCACTGCAACCAACTGTCCACATGTGCTAGACAGGGTAGGACAACAGCAACACAGATCACAAGTTTTGTCTGACAAATGATACATTCTGTTGCCATGGAGTCATCGTAATTAGGATATAAACAATATGTTGTTGTTATTGGGTGTTAGATACAGGTCACTTTCACTGGGACAATTTTTTTAATTTCTGGGCATGAAATACTCAATAACCATGACAGCCATGATAACGCCCCAATACACATTCAATTAAGACATTGAAGTGAGTGAGTTGGGTTTAACACCGCTTTGAACAGTGTTCCAGTTATAGCACGGCATGCGGGCTTAATGTGAGAGGAAGGTTCCAAGTGATGCTGATCTTAGATGTTTTCCCCTTTGGGGAAACCCATGAGCCCGACCTGGTGCTGACAAAGTTAGAAACATAATCGTAACGAACCAGGATTCGTTCCCAGTTTGTGGCGTGTATGGTGCTGACAAACCTAGAAACGAATTCGAACACCCAATCATAGGTTTCCAGCGTCCCCAAGGGAAGCAACTCTGCACAGCGAATTACAGCATCTTAGATGACTTAGAGCCATTGTGCCCCTATTGACCTGGTAATTACACAAATTTGTTTGTAAGTTTTTGTTGCATTCTCCTTATTACATGAGTCAGATATTATTGCAGAGTGTAGCAGTCAACAAACAAACACGAAACAAGGAATAACAATAGTCATCATGCATATGAAAAAAAAAATTGGGTACTGATTTTTATAACTTTTATAGCTGACATGGGGGTAACTTAGGAAACTGGGGTAACGCAGCTTCTTTTAACAGACCTTATTGTTTTATTGTTGTTTTCTTGTGTCCAGGTGAAGAGTGCTCTGATGTTTGGTGCTTCAGCGATCATCATCCTAACTCTCAACCCCAAAATATTCAAGGAGGTAATGACACTGTTAATTAGGTTGACCTGATGTCATGGATGTCAGGCTTCTCAGGTCATCGTCAGTACTTCATGGGTGCGTGTGCACTACGTTCCTCCGTCACCCGGGAATACATTCCGAAGATATGCAGTGTGACAGCATGTAACTTGTCTATTTTCTGTTAACAAGGGAAATGAGGGTATACAGTGATAGTAATCAGCACTAGCCCTACAGTTCAAAAGGAGTGAGTGAGTATGGTTTTACGCCACTTTTAGCAATATTCCAGCAATATCACGGCAGTGGACACCAGAAATGGGCTTCACACATTGTACCCAGGAGGTGAATCGATCGAACTAGGGCCTTCGGCGTAATGATCAAATGGTTTAACCTCTAGGCTACGTCAACACCCCGTATCATAAGGACAAGTAGAAATTTGCCATTTTTAAGGGTTTTGCTATATGTTGTCATTATAGAGATGTGTAGACTAAAACTGTTGGTTCCTATGGCTGTGCCTAAGTCATGAAAATCAAATGAACCCAAATTATCTGGCTTGAACTTTGTGTGAGACCAACAATACCCAGTAGCTTGATACTGAAGCAGTGTGTTCAGTGGAGGCTGCGAGGCAATGGCACTAGGAATAGTACCGATATGATCTGACAGCTCGTTGGTCTGAGCATTCACTGCTTTCCCTCTGGCTGGAACCAGGCTGCAATTTGATTGGTTGGTTAAATATAGACTGCTCAACAAGCTCCTGTTCTGTTTGGTGAGGATAGGTGAAATTGGTTTTAACGTTGCGTCCAAGATTATTGCACTTATATAGCGACGTGCATGTACGTGTGTGTGTGTGTGGCTGCTTGTACTAGTCCGGACTGATGCCGATTTATAGTGCTAGCACACTGAGATACCATGCTGAAGTTTAACATGAATACCCCACTCAGACACAGTATACTGACTCCGAGCCGACCAGTCCTTGTTTTAGCCCCTTTATACCGAGCGCCAGACAGGGTAACAACAAGTACCATCTTTTAACGTCTTTAGGTATGACGCGGCCGGGGATTGAACCCCAGACCTTCCGCTCTCCGGGCGGACGCTCTACCACTAGACCACGGAGACGGTCTGTTCCATTTGGAGTTGAACAGGCTGTTGTTTGAATTTGTAGACTTTTCCGTCCAGTGTTTAACTGAACACTTATAACCATATTCATTAATGATCTATGATCTTTGCAAAACCTTTTCTTGTGAATATTTCTGAAGTTTCTGAAAAAAGTGTGACTGAATTATGTATGGATATGATTTTCTCTTTCTTTATGCAGTGGAAGAATGACAGTAAAATGAAACTTTTTTCTTTCAGTTGGATGTGTCACAACTTTTTTCACAGCCGGTTGTTATTGTTGATAACGCTGAAAACGTCACAGCTCTCCTCTCCCTACTGAGAAGGTATAAAATAACACTGTTTTCAAGGGTGGCCATCATGTGCTGTGCAGAGTTGTGTTCTTCAATTTGTTTGTTTGTTTGTTGTTTAACACCACACTCAGCAATATTCCAGCTATATGATGGCAATCTGTAAATAATCGAGTCTGCAGACAATCCAGTGATTGACATCATGATCCACGCAATTGGGATACGATGACATGCATCAACCAAGTCAGTGAGCCTGACCACCCGATCCCCTTAGTTGCCTCTTACGACAAGCATAGTTGTCTTTTACGGAAAGCATGGTTGTTGTTTAATGCTGCACTCAGCAATATTCCCGCCAAATGATGGCAGTCTTTAAATAATCAAATCTGCAGACAATCCAGTGATTATCATTCTTGGAAAGAGAAAAGTGCAGAGTTTGCATCTTTTATTTTCATGTAATGGTTTGAAAAATAACACAAACCCGTAAGAAATAACTTCTTTTTAAAAATGGATTATTGCCAGTCCTGAAGTTAAGTTGCCCCAGACAAGAATTTTGATATTGACATAAATGAGCCCTGAAAGGAACTGCCACTACTTCTGAAAAAACTTGTTAAAAAACGCTGTGGTTTTAGGCGTATGTTCAGTCATTTACGAATCAAAACACCCCATAAAACACTCTTTTCTCATGACAGATGTGCAGTATGTATAGGATCAATATTTTTGAGTCTTTAGTTAGAAGAGGTTTAACACTTTAATGTTGCAATCTCAGTAAATATTTTTATTCACCACCATAGGTGTATATCACCCTTGCCACTCCCTCCTAATCTGTAGCTCAGCTCCACTTCCTTATACCTGCATGTTGTAAAGATGTGTGTGTTTGTGTCCGCAGCAAGATGACGCTGAAAGCCCGAGTGCTCGTCAACATGACAAGGCAGGAACTCCTGGTAAGACTTAGCTCACCTGGCTGACAGTCAAGTAAGAGTGAGTGAGTTAAAGTTTAACGTCACATCGGCAATATTTCAGCCATATCGTGACGACAGTCAAGTAAGATGATGTCATGGCTTGTTTGTTCGTTTGTCCGCCTTTCGTCATCCAACATCTCAACTTCAGGTCCAATCAAGCTTCATGTGTTTGTGTTCGATATTCACCACAGCGGCCATATTTGAAAAGATATTTATGGCCATGAAATGTCATGAAATTTTGGTATGTGTTTAGTTAGTAGTGTGTCTACAACATACATGTTCCGTTTTTTAAGTAAAGTTTTAAATTTTGACCTTGTTTTGACTTGTTTTAAAATGGAGCTTTTGCTAGTTTTCGTTCCTTGTGAAAAGTGTTTAATGGCAACACTAAACAACTGTTTTGGATCATGAATTTTCTACTATGTTTCATCCAGAAATTCCCCACCCTGACCATGTGGGCGACGTGTGGGAGACAGAACGGACATGGGGGTATTGTCTGTCTGGAGAGGAGCAGTGAGGTTGGACAGGGGAAGGTATGTGTTATCCTCGTTACAGCTGTAACAATGCAGGTCAGACAGTGGTTACCAAGAAGCTGTAACAATGCATTCAGACACTGGTTACCATGGTGCTGTAACAATGCAGGTCAGACAATGGTTACCATGGAGCTGTAATAATGCAGGTCAGACAGTGGTTACCATGGAGCTGTAATAATGCAGTCAGACAGTGGTTACCATGGCGCCGTAACAATGTAGTCAGACAGTGGTTACCATGGTGCTGTAACAATGCAGTCAGACAGTGGTTACCATGGAGCTGTAATAATGCAGGTCAGACAGTGGTTACCATGGAGCTGTAACAATGCAGTCAGACAGTAGTTACCATGGTGCTGTAACAATGCAGGTCAGACAGTGGTTACCATGGAGCTGTAATAATTTAGTCAGACACTGGTAACCATTGTGCTGTAACAATGCAGGTCAGACAGTGGTTACCATGGAGCTGTAATAATGCAGTCAGACAGTGGTTACCATGGAGCTGTTACAATGCAGTCAGACAGTGGTTACCATGGTGCTGTAACAATGCAGTCAGACAGTGGTTACCATGGAGCTGTAATAAAGCAGTCAGACAGTGGTTACCATGGTGCTGTAACAATGCAGTCAGGCAGTGGTTGCCATGGTGCTGTAACAATGAAGGTCAGACAGTGGTTACCATGGAGCTGTCACAATGCAGTCAGACAGTGGTTACCATGGAGTTGTAATAATGCAGGTCAGACAGTGGTTACCATGGAGCTGTAATAATGCAGTCAGACGGTGGTTACCATGGAGCTGTAACAATGCAGTCAGACAGTGGTTACCATGGTTCTGTAACAATGCAGTCAGACAGTGGTTACCATGGAGCTGTAACAATGCAGGTCAGACAGTGGTTAACATGGAGCTGTAATAATGCAGGTCAGACAGTGGTTAACATGGAGCTGTAACAATGCAGTCAGACAGTGGTTACCATGGAGCTGTAACAATGCAGTCAGACAGTGGTTACCATGGAGCTGTAACAATGCAGTCAGACAGTGGTTACCATGGTGCTTTACCACATCATTCAGACAGTGGTTACCATGGAGCTGTAATAATGCAGGTCAGACAGTGGTTACCATGGAGCTGTAATAATGCAGTCAGACAGTGGTTACCATGGAGCTGTAACAATGCAGTCATACAGTGGTTACCATGGTGCTGTAACAATGCAGGTCAGACAGTGGTTAACATGGAGCTGTAATAATGCAGGTCAGACAGTGGTTACCATGGAGCTGTAATAATGCAGTCAGACAGTGGTTACCATGGAGCTGTAACAATGCAGTCAGACAGTGGTTACCATGGTGCTGTAACAATGCAGGTCAGACAGTGGTTAACATGGAGCTGTAATAATGCAGTCAGACAGTGGTTACCATGGTGCTGTAACAATGCAGGTCAGACAGTGGTTACCATGGAGCTGTAACAATGCAGTCAGACAGTGGTTACCATGGAGCTGTAACAATGCAGTCAGACAGTGGTTACCATGGTGCTGTAACATAGCATTCAGACAGTGGTTACCATGGAGCTGTAATAATGCAGGTCAGACAGTGGTTACCATGGAGCTGTAATAATGCAGTCAGACAGTGGTTACCATGGAGCTGTAACAATGCAGTCATACAGTGGTTACCATGGTGCTGTAACAATGCAGGTCAGACAGTGGTTAACATGGAGCTGTAATAATGCAGGTCAGACAGTGGTTACCATGGAGCTGTAATAATGCAGTCAGACAGTGGTTACCATGGAGCTGTAACAATGCAGTCAGACAGTGGTTACCATGGTGCTGTAACAATGCAGGTCAGACAGTGGTTACCATGGAGCTGTAATAATGCAGGTCAGACAGTGGTTACCATGGAGCTGTAACAATGCAGTCAGACGGTTGTTACCATGTAGCTGTTACAATGCAGTCAGACAGTGGTTACCATGGAGCTGTAATAATGCAGTCAGACAGTGGTTACCATGGAGCTGTAATAATGCAGTCAGACAGTGGTTACCATGGTGCTGTAACAATGCAGGTCAGACAGTGGTTACCATGGAGCTGTAATAATGCAGGTCAGACAGTGGTTACCATGGAGCTGTAACAATGCAGTCAGACGGTTGTTACCATGTAGCTGTTACAATGCAGTCAGACAGTGGTTACCATGGAGCTGTAACAATGCAGTCAGACAGTGGTTACCAAGGAGCTGTAACAATGCAGTCAGACAGTGGTTACCATGGAGCTGTATTAATACATGCTCGCTGACTTGGTTGATGCATGTCATCGATCCCAATTGTGTGGATCGATGCTCATGATATCAATCACTGGGTTGTCTGTTCAGATTCGATTATTTACAGACCGCAGTCATATAGCTGAAATATTGCTGAGTGCAGCGTAAAACAACAAACCTACCAACCAACAACTTGGGCCCCTAGCCTGAAGTAGTCCAGATGACACACACATGTAGCATGTTCTGACAATACTCATGTCTGTACAGGCAGATCCAGGCTTGTTCTGGAACTTCTTCTACACCATCATATTGTTGCTGATGTTGCTGTACATGATGAAGTCTCAGGGCAGGGATGGAGAATGGGGTCCGGCCAACAGAGAGCTGGAGGTGAGTTGACGTAGTTGCCGTTGCTGAAGTTGCTGCTGTACATGATGAAGTCTTCAGTCCTACTTGTACCTCTGTGATAGATGATACAATTTCAACATGATTGGAGAGAAATTAAGGAAATTACACAACAAAGAATTGGTTAACCATCTCTGGCCTTATTGCTAGCACGTGTTGTTTATGAAGGTCAAGGTCACTTGTTTTGGAAGGAAAATGTGCAAGGTGAGGCCATTCTCTTACCTAAGTTGTCAGTTGTATTCTTTCATACATGTACATGATACACATAGGCGGATCCAGAAGTTGGGTCCAGGGGTCCGCTTGTTGTAAGGCAGTAAAATTATCTGAGAGGATTTTGATATTTTGGATCCCTCCCTTTCAAAAATGCTGGATCCTCCATTGATACATGCGATACTGTTCCAGGCGTATCCTTGATTCTGTCCTACATGATACATGCGATACTGTTCCAGGCGTATCCTTGATTCTGTCCTACATGATACATGCGATACTGTTCCAGGCGTATCCTTGATTCTGTCCTACATGATACATGCGATACTGTTCCAGGCGTATCCTTGATTCTGTCCTACATGACACATGAGATACCGTTCCAGGCCTTCCTTGATTCTGTCCTACATGATACATGCTATACCGTTCCAGGCGTAGCCTTGATTCTGTCCCACATGATACATGCGATACCGTTCCAGGCGTATCCTTGATTCTGTCCTACATGATACATGCGATACCGTTCCAGGCGTATCCTTGATTCTGTCCTACATGATACATGCGATACTGTTCCAGGCGTATCCTTGATTCTGTCCTACATGATACATGCGATACCGTTCCAGGCGTATCCTTGATTCTGTCCTACATGATACATGTGATACTGTTCCAGGCGTATCCTTGATTCTCTCCTACATGATACATGTGATACTGTTCCAGGCGTATCCTTGATTCTGTCCTACATGATACATGTGATACTGTTCCAGGCGTATCCTTGATTCTCTCCTACATGATACATGCGATACTGTTCCAGGCGTATCCTTGATTCTGTCCTACATGAAACATGCGATACTGTTCCAGGCGTATCCTTGATTCTGTCCTACATGATACATGTGATACTGTTCCAGGCGTATCCTTGATTCTGTCCTACATGATACATGCTATACTGTTCCAGGCCTATCCTTGATTCTGTCCTACATGATACATGCGATACTGTTCCAGGCGTATACTTGATTCTGTCCTATATGATACATACTATACTGTTCCATGCGTATCCTTCATGATACATGCGATACCGTTCCTGGCGTATCCTTGATCCTGTCCTACATGATACATGCGATACCGTTCCAGGCGCATCCTTGATTCTGTCCTACATGATACATGCGATACTGTTCTAGGCGTATCCTTGATCCTATCCTACATGATACATGTGATACCGTTCCAGGCGTATCCTTGATTCTGTCCTACATGATACATGCGATACCGTTCCAGGCGTATCCTTGATTCTGTCCTACATGAGACATGTGATACTATTTCAGGTGTTTCCTTGATTCTGTCCTACATGAGACATGTGATACCGTTCCAGGCGTATCCTTGATTCTGTCCTACATGATACATGTGATACTGTTCCAGGCGTATCCTTGATTCTGTCCTACATGATACATGCGATACCGTTCCAGGCGTATCCTTGATTCTGTCCTACATGATACATGTGATACTGTTCCAGGCGTATCCTTGATTCTCTCCTACATGATACATGTGATACTGTTCCAGGCGTATCCTTGATTCTGTCCTACATGATACATGTGATACTGTTCCAGGCGTATCCTTGATTCTCTCCTACATGATACATGCGATACTGTTCCAGGCGTATCCTTGATTCTGTCCTACATGAAACATGCGATACTGTTCCAGGCGTATCCTTGATTCTGTCCTACATGATACATGTGATACTGTTCCAGGCGTATCCTTGATTCTGTCCTACATGATACATGCTATACTGTTCCAGGCCTTTCCTTGATTCTGTCCTACATGATACATGCGATACTGTTCCAGGCGTATACTTGATTCTGTCCTATATGATACATACTATACTGTTCCATGCGTATCCTTCATGATACATGCGATACCGTTCCTGGCGTATCCTTGATCCTGTCCTACATGATACATGCGATACCGTTCCAGGCGCATCCTTGATTCTGTCCTACATGATACATGCGATACTGTTCTAGGCGTATCCTTGATCCTATCCTACATGATACATGTGATACCGTTCCAGGCGTATCCTTGATTCTGTCCTACATGATACATGCGATACCGTTCCAGGCGTATCCTTGATTCTGTCCTACATGAGACATGTGATACTATTTCAGGTGTTTCCTTGATTCTGTCCTACATGAGACATGTGATACCGTTCCAGGCGTATCCTTGATTCTGTCCTACATGATACATGTGATACTGTTCCAGGCGTATCCTTGATTCTGTCCTACATGAGACATGTGATACTATTTCAGGCGTTTCCTTGATTCTGTCCTACATGAGACATGTGATACCGTTCCAGGCGTATCCTTGATTCTGTCCTACATGATACATGTGATACTGTTCCAGGCGTATCCTTGATTCTGTCCTACATGATACATGTGATACTATTTCAGGCGTCTCTGCGTCAGCTGGCCTGCCAAGCTCTGTCTATGATGAAGACACAGAAATACCACGCCCACATGAACACCGGCCATGATACGTGTGCCATCTGCCTTGATTTATTCTTTAAAAAACAGGTGAGAGAACATGACTGATACTTATAGTCGATCCACATTTCTCAACTATGGCATTATAAACGCAGAGTCTAGTCCAAGAGACAATCTTACTCACTGAGGTGCTATTGTTATGAAAGTGACGTAAAAAATATAGAATGACAAGTAAAAAGTAGTGTTGTTCAGCCTCTGTGCATTTGGGGATAGAATTGGTCCCCAATGGTGTGTATCGTCACTCACAATACCAATCCCTGGATTGTCTGGTCCATACTTGATTATTCACAGGCCACCGTCATGTAGTTGGAATATTGCTGAGTGTGGTGATATTCAACAAACAAAATGATGGCTGCATTGGGTTTTTCATTTATCAGTGCCCAATATAAACATCCTAATATACTGTATGTCTTATCAGTTTTCTCATGTCATAAACAACTAAGAGAAAAGAGACTGTTAAAAAAGTCTTAGAGCCATGTTATCGAATCCATTGAATGGTTACATGATTGACAAATCTGTTTGATAAATATGACCCTCCAACATTCATCAGTGCCACTGAATGTTTACTTCCTGTTACAGAAGATCCGCGTTCTTCCATGTAGTCATCAGTTTCACACCAAGTGTGTTGATCCATGGCTGGTTAAAAACAGGACTTGTCCACTGTGCAAGCTCAACATTATCGGTTAGTATTGTCTGTTTACCTTAGACATGTCCACTGTGCAAGCTCAGCGTTATCGGTTAGCATTGTCTGTTTACCTTATTCTTGTCCATTGTGCAAACTCAACATTATCGTTTGGTATTGTCTCTTTACCTTTGTGAAACAAAGGAAGATAACACACTATGCTTAATAAAATAAGGTATGTCAAACTTGGGAATGGATGTTCATGCAAGACAGGGGCGGTCGGGTAGCCTAGTGGTTAAAGCGTTCGCTGGTCACGCCGAAGTCCTGAGTTCGATTCCCGACATTGGTACAATATGTCAAGCCCATTTCTGGTGTTCCCCCCTCCCCCCGTGATATTGCTGGAATATTGCTAAAAGCGGCTCACTCACTCATGCAAGACAAATGGTCAAAACCCAAAGACCCATGTGCCAAATGTCAACCCCCAAAATTCACACGAAGGTGTTATAAAGCAGTTGTTTGTGGGTATCACTGTCATCTTCCCGAGTCAAGGGCATTAAATGACTGTAAGTCCAGTTTCCATCCTTGGCAAACTAGACTGGAATTTCTGGGCCTGATCGTAGTGACACCAGTAGCTATTACGAGTTATGTCCCTTCTATGTCCCTACTTTTGCCCAATCAGAATCCACTTCTCATATTACTTGCATTTGCTTCAAACAAAATGGTGGCGCCCAGCGAAGACAATCGATAATCAAGATCTCTATTGTAATAAAACGGGTCCTACTTTGCGAAGTGCATCATATCACATGAGCACCTTGAATAAAAACTTGAAAAAAATTTGGAAAAGTTCTGTTGATGGCATGTTGATGGTACACATACTCTTGGTAGGGTCGGGTACCCGGGTAGTAAATTTGGACTTTTCCCGTCCCTAGTATTAACAAGTGTTGTTATGTAGGAATGGGAGTCACTTTCTATCGTTCCTGTTTCAGAGCAGTTACAGAGAGACTCCGAAGACGAAGATTAACCCAACAATACCACTTTCATTCAGTGCTGCCACAAGTTGTAGATGGCCAAGACTAGATACATGATTATATATGATGTCGTCAGAACCAAGAAGGAGAGTTGTCCTCAAAAACATCGAGTCTCCCTTATACTCACAGGGTCACAACCTGACTGGTTTCTGCAAGTGCATGTAAATTTGGATAAGACTGACTGTATATGTTCCTCAATCACTGTAAGCAGAGCAATGATGAACAGCAGTGCAAGACTTCACGTTATTCTGCTTTAGAACAAATTTACAGAAAAGACTGGAAGCCTCCATGCAATGCTGCTCAAAAACAATATTGGCGCTTTTTAGGAAGTAGGCTATCTGTGTGCAACGGAAGAATTCATTGCCATTGAACCTGGAAGTGCGGTGGAGTTTGAGGGGGTGGACGTGGAGTATATGCTCGACGTCATTTCCAAATGCAAACGTTCCACCCCTGTTGTTATCGATTGCCCTGATTGTCCAGATCACCCCGTCATCAGGTTGGGATTGTTCTAAATGTATTGCTTGATTTGACGGAGTTATCTCCCTTCACTCCCTCCACAGCCTCAAGCGCCATTCCAGTGTGTGCTTCCTTTGTTCCCGCCTACTGGTACAGAAAGTGTAGGACTTGCACTGTGTGTAGCTTGCTTGAGCAGCATCCAGACATTGACTGTTACTCCCATCTGTGATCTGTTGTTTATTTATTTGTTGTGTGGTGGTTATGTTTGTAGTCTATTTGGACCAAAGCCAAAATATACTTGATTTTGCATTATCCTGACCCACACCTATTGCTTGTCTCATCTCATTTCCGAAAGGCATGGGACCTGAATAATGTGAAGCCTCTTACCAGTAATGCCTGTGAACCACGGTGGCCAGAATGAGTCATGCTATCGACTTCGGACGTACCAGATTTGACGATGGTGATCATGCATCGGCTCTCCTTGGTCTAAGTTGGGACTTCATCACCAAGATCCAGCAGCCACGGCAACCAGACAGACAATTCCACATCCCACCACACGCATCCATTCTTGGATCATAGGATACTGAGGAGTTCTCGCTGTGTCCAGCCAGAGCCTTACTCATATATCTGTCTTCAAAGATCAAGCTCCAGAAGCTCCAGAAGGCAGAAGTTAAAAAGGCTATTTATTCCTTTTTCAAGGAATCCTTCAGCTGAGGTCTCTTCACAAACTTGTCCTTCTGGGTGAGAGCAGTCATACTCAGAGCATTCAAGGCAGCAGTGTTAGATCCACTTCACCATCTTACTGTGCGATTCAAGCAGTAAATTTGAGTCAGGATAAGGTAAAATATGTATTTTTTAAAGAAAAAATAACATTTTTAATTATCCTGACTCGTACGCCATCGCACCCTCCCAGTCATACACTGATACGTGTTTCGGTTGTAGGTTTAGAGAGAGTGACGAGCCTACCTGATTGGTCACATGCTTCCGGTGCGCATGTGCAGCTAAGGTGTGCATGTGCAGCTCAGGTGTGCATTTGGGTGAGCTGTGTTTTTCCTCCAGGAACACTGTTCAAGAAGTTTCCACTACCTTCGGAAGTGAGATAAGGAATAAGTATGAGTCAGGATAGGTAGTAATAATATTTTTACTTTAAGAATTACATTTTTTGATAACATGGACCCTCCAGGTATGGTTTGGTATTATTATTGTATAATGAAAGAAAATATTTTTTAATGCAGAAGGCATGGTTAGAATTGATATCCGGTGTTTCTTGAACAGAAAGTCAATAAAGCTTTAACAATAATATTATACGTAAACTTCTGAGTGGGTAGTGTAAAACATGTTAGAATTTTTTACATCTGTTTCCAGCTGTGATAGGTCAGTTCAGGTTATGTGAAACACAAATACCTATTGTTGTCTCCAGGTGAAAAATTAGAAATATGAAAAATATAAAGTAAATAAAGCAACTAATATAGGATTGACTTTGATTGAAAAATATCATATTTCATATACGTAAAGTTATGAAAATAATATCATATACAATAATATCATGATATTAAGAAACAATTTACAATGTTATAATTTAGTTTTAGTTATTTTGAAGTTTTCCTCCTATTTCTTTATCATCATATATGTATATATCTTTGTTATGCATATTTTTATGTAAACTGGGTAGAATGCAATTTGTGAAATACAAGGCATGCCATTTGTCTTAAGTGCTAAACAAAGGGTAGATGGACAATGGTTACATTTGTGACCAACTCATGTTATTAGGGACAAGCCAAAGAGCGACTCGTGCCGCTCTCGTTGCCATTTTTACGACTCGATTCCGTCTAAGCGCAACTGGGATAGCGAAAAGATTGATTTGCATATATTTCCCCCCATGTCATGTATTCCAGATGCTATATAAAACACATCGGGACTTATTATACTGTATGATTGAACACATTTAACTGTATCTTTGGTCTAATTTCAAATGCAAGACATATGTAAAATTAAAAATTATTTATTAGGGATTCTTTGACCGAAGTACTTGAAGTCATATGCACATTCTGATTGCTTTGTCGTATTTTCGCGTATAACATTCTGTGATAGAGGGATGAGTCTTCTTGCAGGTTACGGAAAGGGATGAGTGGTGACGAATGCAATTGTCACTAACATGCAGTATGGCGGACAACTTCAACATAGTTGTCTCCCTTTAATGGTTTCCCAGCCTGATGTTCACATCCTCTCAGATATTTCTGTCTGGCATTATTGAACATTTGACAAGAATGGGGTTAATCCAGTGGAAAGTAATTTTTAGTAAATATAAAAGTAGAATATTGATCAGTTTTGTCATTGTCTGGTAAGTAATTGATTAAAACAATTTGTGCAGAGACACATATACAGAAATGTAGTTTAATATCCAGGGGAATTAGGGGATAGTTTTAGGTTAGTTATATTAATGATGAAATTCAAAATATTATAATGACAGAAAGCCCATGTCTGGTAAGGAACTATTTTGTGTGTAATGAATGTATTTGTACATGTTTTTTTGAAATATCAGGAGACACATGGTATTTGTTCAGCAACCTCCCTAGTGCATTGACTGGCTTGATCCGTGATGCAGCATTTCCCCCATGCACGTGCATGCGTGTGTGCGTGCATGCGTGCATGCGTGTGTGCGTGCGTGTGGTACATTGTGTGTCTGTGCGTGCGTACTTGTTTTTATGTGTATGTGTCCGTATGTGTGTGTGTGTGTGTGTCTGCGTGCATGCGTGTTTGTATATGTATGTGTGTGTGTGTGTGTGTGTGCGCGCGTGCGTGCGTGTTTGTATGTGAGTGTGTGTGTGTATCCTATATCTCATGGGATATCATGATGATGTGTTTCTATATGTTGATATCCCAAAGTAAGGACAAGGAATCTTGTGATCATACTACCATACAGACGTTGTATTTTCATGTCATATTTTGTGATTGTAGCTAATTAACTTTGAAAGGACTTGTAATTTGCAATGACTTTTAATTAAGAAGGTCTTTGCCACGTGTCAGATTTGTGTAGCAAGTTCATGAAAACGAAGGGCTCAAGTCATGATCATTGTCAAGTTAAAGCCACACCTTATTTTACTTGCTATACATTTCATTTTTTTACAGGAAAATTCCTGTTGCTAGGTGAGGAAAAAGAGAAAGAAATATCAATTCAATTTTTTTATAAAGTTTTCTGCTCCACTACAGGTTGGCCGGTTTAAAAACATAAAACTGTTTAATGTGGGAAGAGAGCCAAACACAGCTGTTGCCTTATAATTGCAAACCTGATGAATCATGGGGAAACACTGTTATGCATCTATGCATCCTATCAACTTCAGGAAAATCAACACTTTATTTTGATTCCCATGTTTAATATATGTCAACTATAGTTGGGCCTTGTTTAGAAATATTTTTGGGGTAAATTATCATGATTATGCTATCAGTTTGGCGGGATAATAAAGAGAGCAAATTCTTGATATTTTTTGTCCATTTCAATTATATTTAGGCTCATATTGTGAATTACGAAATATATCTAGTTTTGCAGCTGTAGCTATAAAAAATATTTAGTCTCATACAAAATCCCGGCCCTAGAATATCAAATGGTCAATTCCTTTGGACATGGTACATCATCAAAAGTATGACGCTCAGAAAAGAGAATTTATAAAATATGAAATACTTAATTCAATACAGTCAGCACATTTTCACCACCTGAGTGGTATATTATCAATGATAGGTGAGCCTCTGTACCTCTAGTGTGACTGTTGTGTGTAGTGCTACTACAGAGTGACCATAGTGCGGGTGGTATCATTCACCAGGGAAGGTCGACTGTTGTACTACCGTATTCGACGTAATAAGCGCCCACGGCGATAATATATTGGCTAGTGAACAATCCCAATTAGCACCCCTTCCGATTGATCTATGTACACAAGACTTATTTATTCGTGTATAATACGCACTCGTGTGTTATGTGCACCCTTAATTATGGGCAATTAAACTCTGGAAAAATATATCTGTCGTATCATTTCAGACTGTCCACATAAACCACGAAATTTACGATCTTTTAACTCTGTTTTTTTTCCATCAAAATTATATTCTAATAAGAGCCCCATATTTCTAATTTTGAGAGCGCCCTGGCCGCTAATTACGGGGAATATGGTAATTGTTTTGCCAGTTGTGTTATTTGCATGTACATTGTGGATACCTTATGCAGTTATATCACAGAAATCATGGTGTTTTATGTGTGCAAATAGCCGTGAATCCTACAAGCACCTGGCGGTGATTCAAAGTGTTACTCATTCACTGTTTATTATTCATATGACATTGTACACCATGGAATACAGTGAATGAATTGAGCTAATATCGGTCGGAATATTGCCCCAAGAAGGCGAAAGTAAAGTTTTCAATAACCTAGTTTCACTTTGACAAAAGGCAAAGACTTTAAGGGGTTATTAGCATCCTTCATGTTGGTTTGTTGTTGAATTATTGTGAAGATTTCTTTAGCATTTAAATCATTGTTTGTTTAAAATAATGCAAATTGTTGTTCTCACGTGGTGTGATCTGTACATATAACATTAACTTATTCTAGAGTGAGTGAGTGAGTGAGTGAGTTGGGTTTAATGTCTCTTTGAACAGTGTTCCAGTTATGTCATTGCGTGTCAGCTTTAACTGGGATGAAGACCTGAATTAGCTTGATGTGGGAGGAAAGCCTTAAGTGATGCAGGTCTCAGACGTTTACCGCGTCGGTTAAACCGACCAGTATGGGTATGGTGCTGACAAACCTTGAAACATAATCGGGTCAAACCGGGATTCGAGCCCACGATCATAGGTTCCTGGCGTGCCCAAGGGACACAACTCTGGACAGCGAATTGTGGCGACTGGGCCCCGTGTCCCCCAACTTACTCTGGAAGTATGAAAGATGTGCGTGCGCGTGTGTGTGAGTGTGTGTATGTTCTGCAACGAATGTCCAACTCATATGAAGTGTTTTTACTTCACTGCAGCGCATGCTACCTCTGGGTTGGGCCACAGTGTCAGACGGTGTGAGTTACCATTCTACGATGACATGGATCTGGATCCACGTCATCCTATCGGCCATTCTCTGGTACAGATTAGATTCATTTCAGGCTGCTGTGAATTGGCTGTAACATTGCTGACTGCGGCATAAAGTAACATTCACCTGAGGAATTCTGTCTACACAATGACGTAATCAGTGCATGAAGGTTTAGCTTTTGTGCCCTACTCTATGTGGTAGAGACCTGTCCCGGTACACCAAGATACACATGTTACCCATCAACCTGAATATCCGAGTAAATAAAAATCTTATAAATCCCAAGTTGTTTTTTGTCACGTTTAACCAGAATCGGCATACAACAGGACAACGTATTTCATTAATACAATATCTAGCATCAATGGTGGCGGTTGAGTGGTTAAAGCGTTCGCTCGTCATCCGAAGAACGTGGTTCGATTCCCCATGGGTACAAAGAATGCGTAAGAAACTGTATTCGTGAATAGGTCTTCAGCGACCATGCGAAGTAAGGGGCGACTAACGGCATCGGGTGGTCAGGCTCGCTGACTTGGTTGATGCATGTCATCGATCCCAGTTGCGTAGATCGATGCTCATGATGTCAATCACTGGATTGTCTGGTCCAGACTCGATTATTTACAGACCACCGTCATATAGCTGGTAAGGATGAAACGATACACCGATATTCATCGCGATACTTGACCCACGATACGATATACGATAAACGCGGGCTCATTTATCGATACGCCACGATACGGAACGCAAATCTAAAGTACAGCGTTTCCTCGCTATTGTGCCTTTCAATAAACCGCTAACTTGGTTATAGCGCGCGGTAACGCATGGCTCCCCAAAACGTACTTACATTTTTAATAAGCTCAGGTTTTACACTGACATATGTTTTTTCCCATCTCAAAAAACATTATCAGCTGATCACCGCAAGCGCATAACACCGGAAATACCAGTCAGCATAACCGAACTGAAGTACGCAATTCAATACCATCATTATACTATCTTGTTATTAAAACGTGTTCATTGTATATCTGGACATGTGTTTGTAATATATTTTATTAATTTTATTCAAAATTTCATTTAATATTGTTTTCATTAAGTTAGGTGAAATCGTGTGTGAAGAGATACAGCAACCACGGTCAGATTACCGCTTTTGACGCATTGAAACGAACTTTAGTTGCTAAAGAATGGATACATATATTAAAAATGCCATACTTTGACTCGTTAAAAGTCATATTTGTGGCAATTTGGCTAATATATTTCAACATAACATTTTCGCAATCAAAATACCTGTCGCACGGGAAGTCCCTACGGTGACTGGTCAAATTGTTCCATACGTAAAATATCCCGCAACAGCAATCACCATTACCAAAATGCTACGCTTGTGGTTTCTAAATACATATATAGTAAAAGCTGCAACTAAAGTAACATGATATTGGAATATATTATTCCTGATAAAACAATAATTTCAGATACAATTTCTTCCACCATTGTTTTGAAGGAAAGTTCCACTTTGAACCTTATCAACTTCAATAGTCTTGTTATTATAAAATCGTGTTGACTGTTCCAAAATCATGAAAAGTCCAATCTTGACATGCTTTAAGTCTTGTTTTTGTATCATTGCGTATCGAGATACGTATCGTATCTTGACCAGAATATCGAGATGCCTATCGTAGATGCGTGCGGCGTTAAACAAATAAAAAAATATATTACAGATCGCCGTCATATAGCTAAACAACAAACAAACATAACATAACAAACTGACTCAGTTTACGTATGCCTATATGACAATAAAACGTTTTTTAGGTCTTCTTTGATTTCCGGTTTGGGACAGCGGCGCACTGTCAACAAGCAATATGCCTAGCATAACCGGTCTTCAGTGGTTTAACTCTTCGAATTTTGCAGCAGCCCTCAAAGAAATTAATCGTGACAAAATCATGACCTCCGACGTTGACATTTTCAGTCGGTCTGTGCAACTGAAGAAAATGTCAACTTTCATAAAAAAATCATGCTGAGCTAAATGTGCTGTTTTTGATTTCGATATTCTAAAGTTAGCGGAAACCCGATATGAGTATTGGAACGTACTAATCCATGTAAACATATGTATTTGGAAAGTGACAGGTGTCTGCTATGAAATGTAGTCTTGAAATTGACATAGGCAACACTTGTCACAGTTGACAGGCGTTTTTTAACTAGACTTGATTTTTTACAGATCGCCGTCATATACCCGGAAGTGTGGCGATAAAAAACAATATACATGAATATTGACCAATTAGTTGTACAGGAGTGGAACATGCAGTTCCGATGTGATTTATTATGACAAAGGAAACTTCAGGAAACAGTCAATACTTCACGAGCTGTTCACACGACGTTCCTACCTACCTTGTCAGAGCGTCCGCCCGGACAGCGGAAGGTCGGGGTTCGATCCCTGACCGCGTCAAACAAAAAGACGTTTAAGTGTGTGAGTGAGTTGGGTTTAACGCCGCTTTTAACTGTATTCCAGCTATATCACGGCGTGTCATCTTAATGTGGGAGGATAGCCCGAAGTGACGCAGGTCTCGGACGTTTACCACTTCGGTGAAACCAAAGAGCACAGGTATGGTGATGATAAACCTAGAAACATAAT